TTGAGAGTACATCATTTGCCAAAATCGGTCTTTGGAGCCTCTAGTGTTTTTATTTATAATAATTTAATTAAATTTCTCCCGCCCACCCTCTTTTCTCTTAGAGAAAATATCATTTGCCAAAATCAGTCTTAACAGGTACTAGCCCCACCCACCCACTCTCTCTTTTCTTAGAGGGTATCTCATTTGGTAAAATCAGTCTTATCTTGGCAAGTATTAGCCCCGCCCACCCGCCCGTTATTTTGTTAGAGGATATGCAATTTGGCAAAATCAGTCTTATCAAGTATAAGCGATGTTGTACAGAATAATTCGGACGCGACTGGAATGGATTTAACCAGACTCATATTCTCACAAGTACTCGATTGGCGTTCTCGGCGATGGTTCTTAATCTCCCAAACCTGTTGTTGTACAGTATGAAAAATTATATCCCGCGTTTTGATCACCTTAACATTTTTCTTGGTAAATGTTTGAATTTTGTATAATAACATATAGATTTTGCAAACGGTTCTATCCGAACTGCGGTGCAAATTTTGGTCAAATATCAGGTAGTTAGGTACATGGATATCTCTGGCTGAATTACGGTTCGTTCTGGAACTGAAATAAAGTTTCAGGTGATTCTAGCATTATTCTAGAAGTTGAATAACTTCGAAGAAGAATGGAAACATCATTTAGTGCTCTAAATTTAAATCTTGGGAAAAACCAAATCCTTTTTAAACTCAAAGAAGAAAGCGAAATTTTTAACCAAAATCGAAAAACGATGTATCGAAAAAGATATGGTTCGTAGACAGACATTGATAGAATCTAAAATTATTACCTAATTTAAAAATAATGAAATATTTGGATACAATTTTGTGAATACCTAAGTGTCAGATACAAATTTGCTAGTATCATGTCATAATTTTAGCTTATAAGATAATGTTGTATGTATCTTATATTTAAATTAATACAATCTATTCTGTTGCCTCAAAGAGTGATGGTGGCTTTATTTAACGATTTCAAAAATTATATTTTTTCTGGAATAATAATTGGGTGCACCACTTACGTGTCTGATTCAAACGAGACAGCGTAACCCTTAACTAACCGCAGTTCGGTATCAGGTATACTAAGATCAGTTAAAAGCATACTAATAAAATTTTATGACATAATTAACTAATGATTATCTGGTTGACAATGTCGAGTTGGCTTTTCGCCGTAGGGTCCTTGTAAACTTGTAAACCCTGTCACGTGCCTACAGAATTTCCTCTGCCCCAAGGACAGTCTTTGGCGGTCGTACCTGCTTAATTTATGGTTTTAAAGTTTTGCGGGTTGGGTTCTTTGACTAAAGTCGTAAATTATTATCTGTACGCTTTTAAAATGGTCATAGTATAGTTTCCTCAAACCTATAAGGCGTTTATGGCTTTGACGCTTAAAGTACTTTACAGCCGACCCTTCATAAAGCTTAGTAAATGTAAACCATGCCACGTGCCGGCCGAGACGCGAAGGACCGGACTAAAAGTAATTTTGTTTTTAACGTTTCTTCCGTACCTTAATTATTTAATCATTATTCTGCACATTTGAAAATATTATTAAGATACTGAAAGCAAAAAACATAAAATCTTTAATAAGTACGATCGCAATCATAGAAAACGGGTCCAATAAGTTTTTTGATAAATCAAATAATTTTGACGATGTCACCGTCCTTTGTTTCAAATCCAGAGGGTACATTCATATTGCTGTTGTATTAAAAATAATACGTGACTAGAGAGCGAAAAGTATGCAGCAAAATTTTGAGAAATATGATCATGTAATTAATATGCATGAAATTTATGCAAATATGCTGTAACTTTATTAATATATGCAGAGATATGCAGTTGCATATCCTCCAAAAATTGGAAAGAAATGTAATAACACAACTAAATTTATTTACAAATTATAAAAACAGGTTTATCAAGCTTAAATTTTTTAATAAAAAATACATAGATAAATAAAATTTCTAAAAATTATTGTCTTATTACACTAAATAGTGACAAATAAATAAAAATTAATAATAATAGGCCATTTAATTAGTATTTCTGTAGCAATTTATTTTTAAATACTTTTCGAAATATTGTAGCAAAAAATTTTGCCGATGATCCGAAAACATATATTTGTAAATAGAAATGCGGTTTGTAGCAGAAGCTACAAAACACAGTGCCTTCTTGAAGAATAAATTCAGGAAAAGACCAGTACAGGGCACGGTTGATAAAACCGTTAATTGTTAATTTAGAAAAGTCGAGTGATGATGACAGTGACTATTTCGATCAATAAATAAGCAGTAGTAGTTAATAAGTAAATAGTTGTGTATTTCAAAATTCTAACTAATTTGCTGTAATAAAAAATGATTGAGTACAAAGTTACTTTGTTTTTACTTAAAATAAAAAAATCGAAAGGCGCACTTGTCCGTCAATGCAAAACTCAGTCCTGCCCTGTGCTTTTACCAGAAAAGGTCTTTTTAGGTAGGTATCGGTGAGCGGGTTTAAGACATCCGGTTGTGACGGCCTATTGAATTATAATGGGAGTCAAATTGGTGTGAAATCATAAACGCCTTATATGTTTGAGGGAACTCTACACAAAATTTTGCACCGCAATTCGGAAAGATCGTTTGCAAACTACCACCAGACAGTGGAGATTATAAAAATTAAACGACAAAGACGACCCTAATCGAATTACAACGTAGCGAAAATTATTACATAGTTTTGGAAATTTCATTCTACCCTATAAAATTTTATTGACGATAACGAGACCGACAATAGTACAAAGGTAAAAAATATTTATGGCTCACACCAGTTCACTCGAATTTGTCTCAGAACATTTGGAAGGTATTCTTGTCCAAATCGTACTCCGTTTTTACGACTCCACCCTATTGTGTATGAGTTAAATCCCTTCACAATGGGTTCGTGCCGCAAGTGATCCATCGGTCATAAACCATCAACAGACCAACTGCTTGCGGTAATTGTTATTGCAGTTCCATAAAAACGGAGTACGATTTGGACCACTATAGTTGTACTCATAAAACGGTCATTTCCATTCATGAGTAACAATGGTCCCTGCTCTGTACCAGTATTAAAACAAACGCGATAGATTTAGTTAAAAGATGAAAATTTTGGCGTTTCTGTAAATAATAAGACTGGAATTTGGTTATTATTCGTCGCACTCTGGTATTAGTTAAACCAAAATCTATAAATATCACTTGATGGTTTTGGAATTTATTTTAAAACTTTACTTAACAAGAAGAAAGAAGAACAACTGTGGGAAATGTTTTGTGTAATTTGTAAAACCCAATTTTTGCCAGGTACTAAAGAAATTCACTAGCTCTGTTTGCACTTATGGGTAAGGATGTACCTGTGGGGATTATACGTCCCAACCTGAAAAAATGTAATTGCCTTTTAGGAACGCATTTATTGTATTCATAGGATTAAGTTTAATTTCATTAAATATTTATTACATTTGCATTCGGAAGGGTAATTTTATTGCTTCTTCGAATTTTTGGTTTACCTCTGCCGACATCTCATTGTGTTCTCGACCAAAAATCATCCATGTGGAATAAAAGGAACTTAGCAGCGGAGGAGAGTGACAGTAGTGAGTAAACACAAGCTGGAATTTTCAAAATTTGCAGCCAGTTTTCAAACAGCCCTTGAAGAGCGATTGTCGATCGTGTAGTTGTGAGTTATATTGTGACAGTGATCTTCAGTTACCTTGGCTTGGCTATGAAAAATTTTTTGAATGCACTAAGAAGTACGTACCGAAATAATTTATTTTCATTTTTTAAAGACATGTTTATAAAATATAATAGAACAATTTCATCCTTCGCTGCAGTGGAAAGAATGTTTAATGTTGGTGCGGATGTTTTAAGACGAAACGTTCGCCTTAGCAAACGAAAATTTTGAGTGTCAGTTATTGTTGGATTTAAATTATAAATACAGGGTTAGTCACGAGAGAATTACTTCTGAAAATTATTTTTACGCAACCCAAAATACGAATACCATGTACCATTTGATACTAACTGAATTTAAAATAAAATGCTTAATCCATGATTGCTTTGAGTTTGGCAATCTCATTTTGACAATTGTGGCAAAAGAGGTTACGCGAGTGTCCATGGTGGTACCGCAGCCAGTCGGAAATCTCCTCCGGCGCCGCTAATAAATTTGTCAGTGTGCCTCTTAATCTTTTGCAACCGATTAATCACGAGAAAATCATTTCTAAAAATTCTTTTTACGGAATTTTATTCAAAGGTTACAAGACAAACTCAAACAAGTAAGTAAATAATTTAACTACTAATCTGTTGAGAATGTTGGGCATTTTGGGGGGATGCTACGGCTTTTTTGTAAATGGATGGCCGAAGAAGTCCAGAGGTTGCAGATTTGCACTTCGAAGAGGCTCTAGGTGACGCAGAGATGGCGAATTAACACATGCACATTAGCGGCGAACAACATTGGTAGAGCACTTACGGCTTCAGTATAGCCCAGATTGTTCTGACTGTATGTCGTCGATCGAATGGGGCTCTAGAGGCGAGTCAACGATGAAAAAAAAATGTTAAAAATTAATTAACGTCAAAGTGACACTGCCAAAGTCAAAGCAATCGTGGATTAGGCATTTCATTTTAAATTTAGATAATATCAAGTGGTACAGGGTATTAGTATTTTGGGTTGCGTAAAAATAATTTTCAGAAGTAATTCTCTCGTGACTAACCCTGTATAAATGATATAATGTAATGAATTACCTTTTAAAATAATTGTTCGAGTCACTGGTTATGTTTATGGACTTCTGTTAATAAACTGGAACGACAAATCTCGGTTTAAAGTGTCTGTGAGTGATAGTCAAAGGAATCAGGGATAAAAACTAAACGTTCCATTCAGATTATTGTTTAAAAAGAAAAGTTAAGAGTCCTAACATCGGTTATACTTAGTTGGCAAAAGGTGTCGGAAACCTTTTATTTTATCTTTGTTAATTACAAGAGACTGTATTATTTTCAAAAAAAGTCAAAATAACTATAATAGTACATTTTATTCATGGAACTATCAATACAAAAAAAAGAACATTTTATAAGAATTTTTACGCCTACATTGCGAGACGTTGTATATTGTGGACGACATTTTATTTTTCAGTAAGATGGTGCTTCGTGTCATACCTTAAAAAAACATTAAAATAGTCTGAAGATGGATTTTTAGCAACGTTGAGCTTTCCGATGTCGAGACACTGTGGAAGAAGATAAAGAAAATATCACGCGCAAGTTTTGTCAGACCTGAATAGAATTAAAACAAAAACTACAATAAATACAGAATAATCTTACTCTTTAAGAACTCCAGAACTTGCTGGACACAATGTCACAAAGACCTGTGGCAGTTCTTAAAAATACAGACGATGTTATGCAATGGTAATTTGTGTTAGATTCCAGCTAAATTTAAATGTTACTTTTATTTAATTTTGTTTTTCTTAGTAATCTTTAACCTTATATTGAGTTAAAAAAAGGCCATGGCAAACAAATAAATACTCATTTCAGGTCGGAATAAGCAAATTTACACGTCTGAGCCGCTCTTGGGACCAGTGGCGGCTCGTGACTTTTTCTGTTGGGGGGGCAAAATTAATACACAGTATTATGCTAAATTTAAAATTTATGCTAGGTAAAAATTAGTGTTTCTTCATTTAGAAAAATGTCAAGTTAGAGGTCCGTTAGCCAGAAATTATCGATTGAAAATTGATAATTGAAAATCGATAATTTCTGTTTACCATCTGGAACCACGAGGAGGTGGACCTAATTCCATACTTCCCCAACAGTGATGGGGCTAACTCAAAGTTCCTTTTAAATTTGTTGACATAAGAAATATAAATAAAATTTTGTTAATCGCGTGTCCAGTAGATGCAATAGTTATCCCCCACTTTAAATTCTTTTCAATTTTTTTAATTAATATTTCTATATATAAAATCCATACGTCTTTCTTTGTTACGAACAAAATGTTCTATAACTAGTTCATTGAAATTCGTGCTTTCTTGCACTAGTTTTTTTTCTATTGAACACATTGCCAAGGCACACAATCTTTCTTGACACATTGTATTTCGTAAAAATGTCTTTATACGTTTTAACGTCGAAAAACATCGTTCGCATTCACTTGTCACCATCGGTAATGTGCAAATAATTTTCAATAATTTTTATGTTTCTGAAAATACGTCTAATAAATTGTTTTCATACATAAACTTCAAGAATGTTAAGGCACCATTTGCTGTTGAAAAATCGGGATGATTATAAATAACGTTTAACTCATTTTTTAACACATTAAGATTTAAATCATATTTTGTAGTACATAATTCAGCTTCTTTTGATGGAAAATTTAGTTGAAAATATGAAAATAAGCTAGTCTGAAACAAATTTGCTGCTGTAATATAATCTGCTTCTAAAAATCGATCATTTATACTAAATTTAATATTATCACAAATTTCTTTAGCAATTGCAATTTTATTATCATTAAAATGAGACCGCTTTTTTGAAGATTCACCCTCTTCGTTTTCTTCTCGGTAATAATCGTAGTCGATAGAATCTGTTACATGTTGTATGGCAAGTTTAAAAGAAGTAATGTTTTTTTGAAGTTTAATTAGGTCCATTTCGGGAATTTGAAGTTGGTTGAAAAGTATCTCGGTACTAGGCATGATTCTGTGAAAGAACTATTACCAAAAATTAAAATCGTAATCTTCTAATGTTTTCCGTAAACTACTTGCCTTGGCAATTGTTAATTTGTCACTATTTTTATCTTCCATTATAATTTGAAAGCAGTTAATCAAATCATTTTTAAAACTATGTACAGTATTGACTATTCGTGACTTAAAGTTCCATCTAGTCGGACAATTTCTTGGTAATCTTTTAGAAACGATATCATCAAGTATTTTTATACGTTTAGGAGATCTTGAAAAAAACGAGGAAAATGATTCTAAATTTGAAAAAAAAAGTCTTACTTGGCCGTGTGCTGATGCCGCCTTTTCTATAATTAAATTCAACTGGTGAGCATAGCAGTGAATAAACTGAGCTTTAGAGTAATGTTCCTTGATTTTTGCTTGTACCCCATTTTGTCTTCCACTCATAACCGAAGCACCATCATAAGACTGAGATATAAGTTTTTTTGAATTTTGATTGATTTCAAGTTTTTCGAGCTCATTTAAAATAATACTAGAAATACAATCAGCTGTGTGATCTGTTGGATTAATGAATCCTAAAAATCTTTCAAATATTTTACCTTTCAATTCATATCTAACGACAAAAACCAGCTGCGACTGTGAAGCTACATCTGTAGTTTCATCAGCTAAAATAGATATATAGTCCGCTTCCAAAATTTCGTCTTTGATTAAATTAATACAAACAGCATAAATTGAATCAAGTAGTTCGTTTTGTATGGTTTTTGAAAGACCCATAAAAACGCGATTGTTCGTTTTTTCTACATGAGAGTTTAATGTAGTGTCAAGCTCTGCCATTAAATTAATTAAACCTCTGAAAATTCCCGGATTTGTAGAATCATGCGTTTCATCATGCCCCCTTAAAGCCAACTCAAAGATTCCACAAAAATTTTATACCGTCAATCAGTTTACTTGAAATGTATCTATTCTGTTTTACCTGATCATTATGTTTCTCGACGTTCTCTCTATAAGCACTATTTAACTGATTTCTTATGTCTACTTTACCTAAGACTGCGAACGATACGTTGAGATTTAAGTGTTTTTTACTCGAGCGATGCTTTTTTACGTTTTCCCCAAAATGTTTTAAATCCGTGATTCCGGTTTCAGTCCAAGCTTTATCAACTTCTCCGTTATTCATAAGGGTACATACAAAACAGAAAAGGGCGTTTTTCGCGTTGCAACCACATAACCACCACTCACTTTGATACATAGTCTTATTAGATTTTCGATGCACGAGTTTGTCTTTAACTTTAGACGACATAGCAATGTCCAAATCGGGTCTTGGCGGTCCAACGTTTTTTATTAATAGTTTTTCATCATGACTTAATTTATTTTCAGATTGTAGCCGCAAAATTCTCGCAATTGAATTCATATTGATATTATTGACAACTCTGCAACACAGTTTTTTAAGTTTCTTAAAATCACTGCAAACGCACAGAAAACTAACAAAGTTAGCAAATATCACTCGACCGTTTTGTTTCAAAATCGATGACTAATAAATCGATAAAAGTGTATGCAATCGTATATGCATTTAAGTACTTAAGTTGCAGTACATAATTAAGACGAAGCGATTACTATGCCCTGCCAAGATGTTGCAATATCGTGCATTTGTGCATATAATCGCGAAGAGTGCCAAGTACGGGTCAATGAAAATATTCACAATTTGGCAACATGCAGGACGGGCAAAGGTGTATGATACCCTGCCGAGATGATGTCAGATTGTGTTCTGAACATAGGCAACTTGTAGGTTTCGTAATTAAATGCATTTTGATAATTAATAGCGCGAAATTCTCAGATTTAAAAATGTGCTTTCATTTTGGTGGGGCATTGCCCGTTTGCCCTTCCTGCACCAGCCGCCACTGCTTGGGACTCAGATTGAACTGGATTGAAGAAATATATCGTTTGGATAGGCAACACAATATACGCGTATGGTGCCATCTATGCTTAACATGTTTACTACATATGCAGATCAGAACATAGAATTCTAATTTAATAAAATTACACAAGCGGCAGGAGCATCCAACTTGTAATATGTAATCTAACAACCTGTAATATTACAGGAGGAAAAAAGCTTTGGAATTGAACTGACGGTACACGATGGCGTGACTACCCTTAAAGTGAATTTGAGAAGTTCAATATTTTCAGCTGGTCAATCAACAACCGATGAAAACAAAAGTCTCACTTATTTGTACTTTTTCCAAAAAAAGATTAGCTTCATGCAATTAAAAACGATAAAAATGAAACAATTTAATTGCATTATGTTGCAATATTATGACAAAATACTAATAAATATATAACAAAATAATGTAAAATGCAAGTTTATGCCAAAAACAAAAAGCTTGTTGCATTGGAATGACCTTTTGCGTGTACTACTTTAACCGTTCAGCTGTAAATATAAAATCAATTATTATTAAGTTATGCACATGATCAATTTTACTTTCCATCCTTGTTCACAAGTGGTTACGTCGCAAATTGGCTGAAAAAATAAACTCGATGAGTAGTATTCAGAACGTGCTAGAAATTCTTATTATAAAACGCATCGCCGCATTTTCTTATCCATGCGCTCGTACAAAATCCAAAGAATTTCCTCTGGTGACAATTCTTAAAGTAATTAAAATAAAATCTTATGCAACTCGTCGACTCGGAGCAGCCAGCAGGTCGTAAATCCAATCAACATTTCAGAAAATAATGCGTAAGTGGGCGTAACATCGAGTTATGAATAAAGCAAATATCGATCATCTTTACAAGCTTCAAAAACAGATATCTGACAATACCTCAACGCGAAATAACGCAAAATTGACAAAGAAACTAACTTTCTTGTTTTGTTAATTGTTTACACTACAAAAACTATTCGATCCCCGCCAAAAATCATGCTTGGTATTGATGTCACGTGACCATCCGAAAGACACTAGTTCTGGGAGGCATGATGGCGCCAAATATTGATAAAAATGTTCGCGGAACTTGGGGGATTTTCTGCGAAACCGCGTCGGAACGGGGTTGAATTTGCAACGAAAAGGGTTTACGGGTGAATTTTTGGGGTGAATTTTGACTTCAGAGGGTTCGAGTCAATGTATCGCAGTCGCCTTGGAATGTGTAATGAGGACATATTGGTTATGGGGAACAAAGACGGCGCTAAGTTGATTGCTACTTTCATTTGTGAAAACTGGATATTTTAGGGGTAAAACCGGAAATTTGCGAGTTGATTTCCGTGAAAGGAGGGTGGAAGGTGGCGTCTGGGGTTGTTAAGGGCGCATCGAAGGGTTTTTTGGTGGTTTTCGAGCGCGAAAGCGAGACGGATGTACTTTTGGTCCGAGCACTGGTATGTCGACTGCAGCGGTAGCGCCACCTATATTGTCAATGTTGTTAGGCTTACCAAATGGAGTCTAATGGAGTCGATTTAATAAAAATTGTCTGAAAATCAATCGAAACGATGAAAAACCTCAGAGAAATGGTAACGAACCGAACTACTGTGGTCCTCAGTTTATGTTAAAATAGTGCAGAACGCTGTGTGTGCCAGTGATAGCTTCAAAGTGGAAATGTTTACAATGTAGACATGGGAGCCACCTCTGCTGTTTGTCAATCTTTTCCGCAGAATTACCGCTTGTTCGGACCGAATCTGCCCTTTTCTGACACGGAACCCGCCGTTTAGGGCCGAAATAGGACTGTATGTCACCCCGAAAAGGGCTAAAATTGGGTGCGCGAGACATAGCCAAAGGCTATGTGGTGCATTTTTATTTCGTTTTTTCCATGAATATATTCACAACTCCTGGTCAGAGCAGCCACCGAAGCTGTCACTGGGCCGTCGCGGCCTCCACATGCCCCCATCTAACAACCACTCGCTTTTACAGACATAAACAACCCATGAATGTGCGCCCCATTACGGATGTTAACATGTAGTAAGTAAGTGCCCGCCAACCTGCCCTCTGCCTCACAGCGCCCGTTTTAGGTAGGTTAGGCAGAGTCGTCTTACTGCCTGCACAATAAGGTGCGATGTCACAGAGAGCAAAAAGGCCTAACCGTTCAGACGATGGATCAGTACCTGTTAAAAGGCGCAAAGTAAGTTGGCGCTCAAGCCGCTGCATCCCTCTCACGATTCTGTTTTAGCGTACGGCGGCGGAGGAGGAGGAAGCGGCCTCCTTGGCGGCATGGCAGCCCCGCTCCAACGACCTAAAAAGCAGCAGCATTTACAACCGCACCACCACCGAAGCACCGGCTGAGCTTTTCCGTAAAGATCTGATTAGTGCAATGAAGCTGCCGGACTCAGAACCTCTAGCTTCCAATGAATATTGGGTCATCGTGGACCAGTGGAAACAGGAGTGGGAGAGAGGGGTTCAAGTCCCAGTTAATCCAGATTCCTTGCCGGAGCCTAGTGTTACAGTCAGTCACACCACACCTGTCAAGAGTCAACATGAATTCAAACTGTAAGCATTTGCTGGTGCATGTCATTGCAAGGGGTATTGTGCTTGCTTTATTTTCGGTCGATTACAGGTTCTGCATGCTGTGTAAATTTGAAATTGAAAAAACACGAGTTTATTGGATTCGAGATACTTTTTGTAAAAATTAGTCCCATCTAGTTACAATTCATCTAAGGATGACACTTTGTTAATCAATGACAAGAAAATAAAACTTTCTGAGTTGACAGTTGTTGAAATTTTGTGTTTTTCCAAATTAGTGTTTGTGTCAGTTTTGCAAGTCCCTTTGTTTGATACAGAAGTACTTTAGATTCATTCATATAGTGAAAATGGAATGTGGTACAAGAGTGAAATTGTTGATAGTTCAATTGAGTTTAATTTGAAAAACATAACTGAATTTAAAATAAATATCTGCTATGATTTAACTTAATATTTAATTATTTTAACCACTTTTTTGGATTCAAATCAGCAGCTTTCTGCATTTTCAGTTCGACTTATTAAATTATAAAGCATAAATGTAGTATGTAATATTGGTTTTGTTGAACTGAGAAGATTGCATGTTTATGAATTTACTTTTAATAATATGCTATTATAAACTTGCACACCAGCACCTACAAAATTTAGGAAACATTTCATAAGTCTGTGTTATTACAACAATTGTTACTTTGAACTCGTCACGCATTTGCTTAAATTTAAACACAAGCTTGTACAGAGCCCTCATAAATATTATAAGATGAAAGTAACCAACGTCTCTGAGCAGTTGTCACCCTTAATTAGAATACTGCATGTCCCCAAAATTTAATTTCGTTAATAATGTACCATGTGTCCACACAATTAATAGTTAGAAATAAATAATTCACGTACCTTACAATTATTCAGGAATGCACCGTATAGACCGTTTTACATACACTTCATTGTCTGAAGTGACCATAAATTACTTTTATTGTGGCGGGACTACATATGAAGGGACTCTAGGAAAACACGTTTACTCCATTTCTTTTCTTTCTTTTTTTTGAGGTGAAATAAAAGCCAGAATCTGCTGAATTCCAAGCAAATACTGATGAAAAAATGGCTACAAGGGAAGAATACGTTGATATGAATTTCGAGGAGGCTGCATATTTTTAGTTTATTACTGTCACTTCCAAAGAATATATGCAGAGATCTACAAACCTAGAAAAAAATTACTCTCAAGAATGTTACAGAAACATCCACTATGTTAAAACTTTTGCGGAAAGAATACAAAACACAATGTCAGAAAAGTTTGTGACTATTTCAGATTCGGATTTTATAACGTGTTAATACCGTAGAAAGTTTTAAAAAAATTAAAATATGCATTAGTCTAAAATTGACAAAAGGCGCTGAGTGTTTTTGTCTTGAAGTGTTCAGGATTGTTCCAATTTAAATCTAAATTTCAAATTTTGAAAGTTCTAAGTACTTGTTGAGTGCTATTTAGAATACCGTTTTGAATTGTATTTTAATTTACTGTTACAAATAGATTATTAAAATCATTTGCAGATTATTTAATAGCTCGAATATATATTTTATAATTATTTTAAATCTATTAGTGAATAAGGAACGTTTCCTGTTGTTTAGTTTCTGATGACAATTGAAATTATTTTCCAAAAAAATTGTCTTCAGGAAAAGTTAATAATAAAACAGTAGTAAACAACGACGGCTTTAATTTTAGATATAAATTCTCCAATTTAGCGCTTCAAAGAAAGAACCCAAAGTGATATTTGAAGAAAATTTAATAAAGTCTTGGACTGGCTTTTAATTAAACTTATTTACTTTTTGTGATACTGTAGTCATATTTAAGATTTAGCTGGGAACTTGTTGACGTTTTAGTAAATGTTAATGAAAACAAGCGCTTACTTGTAATCATTTTCTCTGTGTAAAAATATAAAGCCTCCATTAAATCTTATATTATTCAATGACTTATCTAAGCCTAAATTTAGTTTGAATCTAAGTAGAGTTATGTTTTTGTTTGTAAAATTTTCAATCAAATTTAAGTTATTTTTGTCAAACGTACAGAGTTTTTACGTTGTAAGTTTGTCAAGATGTGTTCAAATCCCGTAACATATTCCTTATGGTCACGTTACAAACGGTATAAACTTCCTCATAACTGACCCGAATGTAGTTTTGATCTATTTTTAATAGCACATCGGTTAGGTATTGCACTGGTGCTTAAATTAAATCTTATTCCAACATAAGTGCGAATGGTTTAAATTGAATTTGGGAGTTGTGTTGAATTCTGATAACTATCCATTGCATTGTTTTAGTTGCTACAATGCTACAATTGTCAGTATGTTTGGTGGATGTAGGTTCAGCTATGGAAGTGATAAAAAGTGTATACTTTTTGATTTTTTAAATAGACTTTGACTTAAGACACATTGGTTAGTTCTAGAGCACAAAGTTAATTGTATGTGATTTTGGGAGGATATATATTTTTGGGCACGGATTAGAAGAAAATTTTAAAGTGCAATGTTTATATTAAAGTATTAGTGGTATTCAAGATCGATATATCCATACAAAATGTTTGTACTTGAGTAACAACAAAATTTATGGGCAAATAAGAATTGTAAATTTGCGGTATTTACACAATGAAGTGTCAGTAGCTGTGTAAAACCCACAGTGGTAAATAACGGGAGCTGTTTTAGATTGATTTGCCCGCAAGATGTAGCTCTATTATACCGAAAAAAAAAAACTTAAAAGGTTTAAAGTTTTAGTGAACCAAAGCTTTTACAAAAATGTGGAATATATTTATTGGGTACTAATAATAATGTTAGATAATTTCTTGTTCCTCATACTAATAAAAAAGCTGAGATTTTTGTCATTGACAAATTCCACCTGTTCTCGACCAGTGGAAATATATCTGGAAACCTTTTGGCATTCGTCGTTCTTTCCACCAGGATTGACACACTGCCATCGTTCCACACTTGTTGCATCAAATATTTATCGTGATTGTAACTCCTCTCTTGGCCTTGCAGCCCCAAAAACAAATACATCCGCATCACGAAAGACGACAACTTCAAAATCGAAGAGCACGCCTTATCCAACGCCCCCGCCCAGGCCGAGGCCGCCTGTTCGTACGACCTGGACGAGGTGGACGTGGCGTGGTTGCGCATCCTCAACAGCGAGCGCGCTCAGAGCGGCCAGCAGCCCGTGCACGAGGACCAGCTCGAGCGCGTTATCGAGCAGTTCGAGCTGTGCTGCTGGGACAAGATCCAGTCCATCCTGCGGAACGAGGAGGGCCTGGGCATCGAGTACGACGAGAACGTGATCTGCGACGTGTGCCGGTCGCCCGACTCGGAGGAGGGCAACGAGATGGTGTTCTGTGATAGCTGCAACATCTGCGTGCACCAGGCCTGCTACGGCATCACGCGGATACCGGAGGGCCAGTGGTTGTGTTGCACGTGTAACCTGAGCAAGAGACCGAAGTGCGTGCTGTGTCCGAACAAGGGGGGCGCGATGAAGTGCACCAGGTCGGGGCAGAAGTGGGCGCACGTCTCGTGCGCACTGTGGATACCGGAGGTTAGCATAGGGTGCGTGGAGAAGATGGAACCGATCACCAAGATTTCGAGCATTCCGCAGAGTCGGTGGGCGCTGATCTGTGTGCTGTGTAGGGAAAGGGTGGGAGCGTGCATACAGTGCTCGGTGAAGACGTGCAAGACTGCGTATCATGTCACGTGCGCCTTCAAGCATGGGTTAGTATGAGAGGAGGGGTACTCTTCAGTGTAGTCTATTTTTTATTGAATAGAGCAGAGATGATGTGAGTAAGGTCATAACTTTTAAGCTATCTTATTTTTTTTAAGTGAGTTTTTTTTAACTGTATACTCTACTACCACATTCTTCGTCTGATTTTATAATAAAACTCTAATGGATAAAATTTCAAGTATGTACAACGAATCGTCGTATCTCCAGTTACAAAAATTATACATTCAAAAACTAAAGATTTTTCATTAATAACTTAAAAAACTGCCTCAATTTGTAATGTCATTTGTTTAATTTATCTTGTTGCTATTGTTTAATTCACTTCACTCATTCACGTTGTTTAGTAATAACACGTGGCTGAATTAAAATTTGTTTACTAAAAAATTCTATTACATCTTATTGTAAAATTTTTCTCGACGCGAATTGTCAACCACCTTGGCATTATCTAGACAAAACTAAATTATCTTTTTCTTTTAGTTGTGTTAGATGTTAAATTTTTTCTACAATCACCCTAAGAATAGTTTTCTTTAAATTTAGCGAGCTAATTTGGGGATCCCCCTAATTTCATTAAAACTGAATAATTTTTTATGTAAACTGGACTATTTGAAAATTATTCACGAACAAGTGCTTTTCTAAATTAGTTTGTAATAAAAGTTTTACTATGCTTATAATTTCTAAAGTGCTTATTGTTGTTGAATTCCTGAGACTTGTCTCTAATAAATTATGTAAATTGGGTACATCCTTACTACAATAACCGATTATTTGTATTGTTTTGATGAAGTGATTCTCAGGTTTATGAATCAAATATGGTGATAAGCAATAAAAACCTACCAGTAAAAGTGTAGTAAAATCAACCAGGCTTGTTCCATTGAAAACGATGAATAAGAAAAATGTATTTCAGATTTTGTTCTATTTTTGGTGAAATACAAGCGTCCTAAAGTTTCTAGAAAATAATTTCTTGTCACAAACGTAACTACATAAAAAGATTGTAACATAAGTATTGATTAATAGCTTAATTATTACAAATCTGTTGTGTTTCACACTAATTTTGAAAAAGAATTTTTTGTTAGCGTAATTTATGCCATTTGAGCTGTAGGTGAATTATAGATTACACAAAGTTGTCTCAACATACGTTTTTGTTGTTTACTTGTTCCCTGTTTGGTTGAATAATATTGTTAATGAACTTTTAGAACAACAAAATTTGGCATTAAGTCTCAAGTTTTGGCTAATTTTCATTAGTTACGCTGTTCACGCTTAGTAGTAGTTTAGAATTTTTAACTTCTATGTAAATTAACACAACGTAGTTTTAAACAGATAACTAAAAAGTGGTCTTAACCAGTAATTTTAATTATTTCGTAACAAAAACGATGCCAAAAAATTTACGTGTTGAATATTGAATGCGTAAATGTTTTCAAAGCTGTTATTACGCAGGCTCTCAGTGTGTTTTTGTAAATTTAAATTCTGGCGGCGATTTCCTATTGATTGTGTTTTCTTTACGAAGTTAAAATTGTTTTCCTGTTTTTGTAACATTTCATACACACTAGAATATGAACAACGTCTACTACATGAAGAGAAAACCAAGAGCAAAATACTTGAGATTTGTGTTATTTTTAAGTTGGTATTACTTGCACGTGGAGCTTTACAATATTTACTCCTTCACGTTGTTTTTCGATTTATATAAATTTTTATTTACACATATTAGCAAGATATCAAAACAAATCTTTCAAAACCTGTATTATAAGTTTTTACGTTTTTTTTTTAATTATTTTAATTAATTTCAAATTAAGCGAGATACAATTTTTTTATGTAGTCAAGTTAGTTTTTTATTGTTCTACAACGGTTTCTTTGAAAAAATCGAATCTTGAATATAATCTAAAATATCAGTATTTTTTCCTTTTTTTGGCAGATATTTTCACTTAGTTTTTTATTGTAAAGATTTAAAACAAAATTATTAAGGGTTGAATTCTGCATAGTTTTCATGATAACACTAATGTATTAATTTTGAAATTTGATTGAATTGATTTATTCAATGATTTTTCTAGAAGAACAGGAGTTAGGTCATGGATCTAGAAATGTAAATTTTATAAACTGTAAAGAAAAATTTCAAAGAAGATCCTACCCAGTTTAGCAAGTATATCAGCTACTTTCCAATATGATATGACGATAAATTTACAATAACTAAAAAGTTTTATGTTTTTTTCTGGGTACACAATACGAAGTCGTCTCTTTTTGTGACTAAGTAAAATAAACGCCAGAAAGCTTCATGAAACACTAACTCTTGTTTTTATAATCAATTCTCAAGGTCTTTTAAATTAAAAATGCTATTATTTTATTGATACAACAGTGTGTTTCTATGGCAAAATCTCACTTTAAACGTTAAATGATCTTTAAATTCATAGTGCAACAAGTTCTACCATTGATATACATTTTAAACTTATTTTAAAACTTTAATTTTACAAAAGTTGCAAAGTTATTGTTATTGAAAACTGTCTTGATAAGAAGAAAGTCAATAACACGGTGATTTTTAAAAAGTTGTGAGTAAGGATTGTACACAATATTGTGTTTTGGTAAACTACGCCATGAGAGTTGTGTATGAGACGTATAAATTGGTCAATCTTAATTACAGTGGCGTCACTGAAAACCACTGAAATTCGGAATATTTGTATCACTATCAATCACAGTGCGATAAATTTAACTTATCCCACTCATTTGAGTTAGCTAATGACGCTCGCATTTTTGAACACAAATATTTTTTCATGCATTTGAATTTAAATAAATAATTAACACTATCATACTGCTGTGAGTTTATAACTTGTTTAACTCACTTGTTACAAAAGAACTATGTCTTAATCATCGAATATTTTAAGACACGTGTTAGCAATAAAACATTTTTTAAAGTGTTAAAAAAGAATGGCAGAATTTCCTTTATTTTCTTTGTAATCTGACATTTGTTAAATGAAAGGGTTTTTAACAAAAAAATGTGAAAATAAATATTAAAATGTTTCAACGAAAATGAAAATATGAAAATATGTACTTTAAAATTTTGAGTAACTTTTCTTAGTCATATGTATTTTGTTGTGTTCAATATGTTCCAAAAAAAATATATATCCGAGTTTTGATTTTGAAGGCATGTTGGTAGGTCTTGGAAGGATGCGGTATATGTTATCTCAGGCATTTTGTTAATTATTAAAACATAGAACTAAGATCATGAATCAAAATTAGTGATGACTGGACTAGCAAGTAAACAAGAACATATAAGTTTATTTAGAACTTAGTTTGAAGAAAAGAAGACACAGTGAAAGTAAATCATATTACTCTTTCATATACCTACATTACCAGTAAAAACTGAGAAGATTAACACTGATAGCTTAAAAGTTAAAAATGAACTTTTGGTTTTGTTGCATCTATACAATTGAGCCCTCTATGAATAGATAATTTCTTTATACAACAAAAAAAATCTACAATACTTATGTACCATATCTTTTTCTCTGATGACACTTTAAAAACTACTTTTAATTTAAAACAGTATTGTACAAATTTTATTCATTAAATTCTGTCGCAAAAACTAAATTGATTGTTCCTAAGAAATTATAATTGTAATCAAATGTTTCATTTAACAATAATGTACACAATTCCGTGTTTGTTAAACAAAATTATTACGGAGGTGGAAAACGAAAAATGTAGCCACAATGATGACTACGTTGTAGAGTGAAAAAAGGTTCTCACACAAAAACTAGTGAATATTTTTAATTCGTATCACTTAATTTTTTAACTTGTGTTAGCATATATAGGGTGAGTAACTAAGCGCGCGCTTCTAAAGTCTGAAGGTTCTTGGAGGACCATACACTAAAAAGTTTTTGTTTTTTCAAATAGAATGGTCTATATATTTTTACATCACAGTGTATTTTGGACATTTCGATGCTACGTTGCCACGTTATACCAATTTTGTTGAATATTTTTAAAATCTGTGTAGCTATATTTTGTACAGAGATTTTTGTTGGTGTGGTGTAAATAAAATTGAGTCTTAATGTACACAGTGTTTATAAAACAATTAAAATATCACAGGTTTCAAATATTGATATCAAATAGAACACCTTTATTTTATTACTTCATCTTATTTTGTTTTTTGTTTTCTTTCTTATTGGTTAAATATTTTCTATATTTATCAATATTTAAAAAAATTTTGTAAACACTAGTGACTCACCTTGTATACTGTTCAGATTATAGTTTCAAATCGGCATTTTACTTTATTTTTTGCAAACAATTTTTAGTATTAGTGTACAAAATTTCTAATTGTGGTTTTATAAGGAAACCTCGTAATTTATGTCTAAAGTAGCTTTAAATAACAGGTGTGTTAAAAAAGTTGGTTAGCAAATGTTGACTTTGTCTGTAAATTATCGTTAGAATAACTATAACAAAGTAGCAAACTAATTATTGTTCACATTATAAGCAATCTTGATATGCATCCAAAGTAAATATTCGCTAATGACTGGAGAGTAGGTGTTACTATTTTTACTTAACTTTTAAATGTGAACGAAGGCAGTTTCAAGTTCTAAATTAATTCCAAATTTTAATGCAAAAGCAATTTGTGCAAAAAAACCTAGTCAAATATTTAAAAGAAAAGTCAAAATGCTGCTTCATTTATTTTTTTATATTGACATAATTCGCTTACATAATACAAATTGTATTTAAACTGTGTCTTTACTATATCAATTTTTTTGATTTACTAATTATTCTTTGTTCAGGTTGGAAATGCGAGCCATCATCGAAGACGAGAACGCCGACGACGGCGTCAAACTCCGTTCCTACTGTGAGAAACACAGCAAATCAAGCAAAAAAGAGAAAAGCGTCTGTTCCGGTTCCGAAGACGACGACTCGAAGCGCAAGAAGCGCAAAGACATGACCTCCGAAGAGAAAAACCAAGCTAGGGCAGCTCGTCTTCAGGAGATCGAAGCCGAGTTCTACAAGCACGTTTCGATCAAGGACGTCAGCATCCACCTCGACGTCGACAATGACGCCCTCCACTACATCTACAACTACTGGAAGCTGAAGCGGAAAGCCGGCAAGAACAAGCCGCTGCTACCGCCCAAGTCGGAGGACGTCGACATGCTCTCTCACAAGCGCGAACAAGCTGATCTCGAAAAAATGAAGATGTTCGTGCAGCTCAGACAGGACCTGGAGAGGGTGCGGAACCTGTGCTACATGGTTTCGCGGAGGGAGAAGCTGTCCAGGAGCTTCTTCAGGCTGCGCGAACAGACGTTCCATAAGCAGGCGGCGATGCTGGAGGCGGCGCCGAACCTGCCCACCAACGTGGTGCAGGCGGTGATCGAGGCCAACCACGGGCCGTCGATCTACGATAGGCTGTATTCGCACGAAGACGCCGAGGATCACACGGCGGACTTCGACAAGGTGCTGACGAGGATAGCGGGTATCAAGTCGCCGACGGACTCCGGAGACGAGAAGAAGCCGGAATTGAATGGCTTGTTCAAGGATAAAAATCCGTATAAAAAGGTTGGTAGAGCATGGTGTCTTTTTGTGCGTAGGAAGTAATTGATTGGAAATATTAAGATTGTTGAAAAGACACGAGGTGGAATGCATGTGAAGTGATCAAGGTTTAAGAATTTTTAATATTTAAAGGGGCAAAATATCAATTCTAAAATAAAAATTACAGAACGTAGTTATTTACAAATACGTTGACCAAATGTTTGTTTCAAGAAAAAGAATACTTCTCGACAACTGTAAGAGATTCAAAGTTGAAATAATAATAGAAATAATTCTATTTTATTGCAGTTATAGATTACTAACCTAGTGGAACTTTTAATTTTTTTGCTACTTTTTTTTCTAACCTGTTCGTGGCTTTAAGTACAGAGTAGGCGTAAGTTATCAATAGAAGCTATATTTCAATAAAATGAACTAAAATAGAGCACTTACTTAGAGTAAGCGAAAAAGTGATCTCCCGTTTCCGTCGATCTGTCATGTGTATCAATTTTTATTAAGAGAGATAATCTCCGAAATTTCTAAACCGATTGTTGTCAAATTTTGTATGTATATTAAAAATATCATGTAGATGGTAAAACGTCAACCAAAATTTGGCTAATGATCTCCACCAAGAATTTAATGACGTCATCTCAAAACTCCTACGCTTCTGAGTATAGTGATAAGTGTATTTTTCCTAGAAACTGTCGCATTAATATTTTAACAGATTGATAATGTCTTTTATATTTTGCAAAGGAGGTTCGTTTACAGACATTCTCAGACTCGCACAACTTTAGGTAAATTAGTAGAGATAACAAACAAATTGCATTTTTTGCGAAAAAAATTCCATATGGTGCATTCCAGAACAAATATAGACATGTGTGTTTTCGTAATGCAATACGTTCGAATCAGTGGCAGTGGCGAAGTATGGGTGATTAAAGTATGATACGTTAACAAATTCAGGAAAACAAGCTCTACAAAAATTTAAAAAAATGTAGTGTAAAAAAAGTTGGATTTATTTATATAATTTAGCTTCTTACACTGTTACTGGTATTATTAGCAATATAAATATATATTGCTTTAATGTATAGAGGCTATCAGAAATAATAATTCTCAAAATCAAGATTTTTAATTTTTCAAGGAAGTAGGATTTGTTAAACTGCACTCAAGCGGCGAGGGAAGACCTGTCGAAATAACCTTCAACCAATTTTTATATTTGTTATTTACGTATTGTATATTGCCTTCACTCAATTCACTGGTAATGATTTTAACAACAGGCTACCCATACGAATTTCTCTATAGTTTGTTTACCGAACAGATGGAGTGATCACGTGCATACAAAGTGACCCCCGTGTTTCCTGATAATAGTAAAATTAAACGAATAAAATAACTTTTCTGTTCACAAGTTTAAAATTTTTACTTCGTGGGCGTTTCCGTCTGTCTGTCGCCTGTTACAGCTTTTATTACACATGTAATCTCCGATACTACTGGAGCGATTGTTGTCAAATTTTATATCCCCACCATCAATGGGATAACGTCATCGTAAAATTTGCAGTAATAATTTTGTTTTCATTTCCATTGACTTTTCACCAGATTTTTGAAAAAAATCAAAATTGTGTAACATTTTGCAATTTAACTTTGAATCTACAAGACCGAATGTTCTGAGATGTTGTATATGTTTTAAGGTTATCGCATTCTAAATCGTTAATCAAAATTTATTCGTTTATTTCCCTTCCAAAAAATTGATGACGTCGTCTCAAAATTTTCTCTAATAAATCCTTTCTGAAATAAGTAAAAGTTTAATTGATTTAATTAATTATCACAAATTTTGTAAAGGAAAAACTCATTTAAAAAATACATTCTTTACATTTACATACATATTTTTAATTTGACCTATGAGGGTTATCATAAAAAAATTAAATTCGCACGAGCCAGGGAAGTTCTGCCGAAATAACCTTAAACCAGTTTTTAAATTAGGGAAAAACTCTGATTTGTTGTGTTAGTGGTAGTAGTACCTGCTAAGATAAGACTGATTTTGGCAGTTGACATAACCTTCATAAAATAGAGGGCGGGTGGGCGGGACTAATACCTGTCAAGATAAGAGTGATTTTGGCAAATGATATACCCTCTAAGAAAAGAGAGGGTGGGTGGGCGGGAATAGTAGCTGCTAAGAAAAGGCTGATTTTGGCAAGTGACATATTCTCTAAGAAAAGAGAGGATGACTTATGATCAGATAAGAGTGATTTTGGAAAATTCTATGAAAAGATAAAACAGATTTTGGGTAATGTGATTTGCCAAAATCACTCTTGTCGTAGCAGGTATTAGCCCCGGCCGCCCACCCTCTTCTCTTAGAGGGTTTCTCATTTGCCAAAACCACTCTTATCATGACAGGTATTAGCCCCGCCCACCCACCCTCTCTTTTCTTAGAGGGTATCTCATTTGCCAAGATCACTCTTATCTTAACAGGTATTAGCCCTGCCCACCCACCCTCTTCTCTTAGAGGATTTCTTATTTGCTAAAATCACTCTTGTCGTAGCAGGTATTAGCCCCGCCCACCCACCCTCTCTTTTCTTAGAGGGCTTCTCATTTGCCAAAATCACTCTTGCCTAGACAGGTATTATCCCCGCCCACAAATCCTCTCTTTTCTTAGAGGGTATCTCACTTGCCAAAATCACTCTTGTCGTAGCAGGTACTAGCTCTGCCCACCTACCTTCTCTTTTCTTCGAGGGTATGTCGTTTACCAAAATTCACTCTTATCTTAACAGGTAGTAGCACCACCCGCCCACCCTCTCTTTTCTTAGAGGATATCTCATTTTCCAAAATCACTCTTATCTTAGCAAGTACTACCCCCACCCACCCACCCTCTATTTTCTTAGAGGGTATCTGATTTGCCAAAATCACTCTTGTCGTAGAAGGTACTAACCTCGCCTACCCATCCTCTTTTTCTTAGAGGGTATGTTGTCATTTGCCAAAATCGGCAAAATATAGGACGGGCGGGGCTAGTATCTGCTAAGATAAAAATAACTTTGGCAAATGACATACACTCTAAGAAAAGAAAGGGTGGGTGGGCGGGGCTAGTATCTGTTAAGATACGAGTGATTGTGGAAAATAAGATACCCTCTAAGAAAAGAGGGTGGGTGGGCGGGGCTAATACCTGCTAAGATAAGAGTGATTTTGGCAACTGGCATACCCTGTAACAATGTCTCTTTTTTAATGTGAAACTTTCTCGGGGGTCCCAACTGTCTTTCTTACAAATGTAAAACCTTCTAGAGGGCGCCAAATATTTTTTAAGAATGTGAAACTTTCTCGGGAGTCCCAAATGTTCCTTTTTAGAATGTGAAAGCTTCTCGGCGGTCCCAACAGTTTTTTTTTTTAATGTAAAACCTTCTCGGGGGGTCCCAATTGGCTTTTTTAAAAATGTGAAACTTTCTCGGGGGTCCCAATTGCCGTTTATAAAAATGTAAAATCTTTTCGGGGGTCCCAATTGATTTTTTTTAAATAATAAAAGCTCGGGGGCCCCAAATGATTTTTTTCAAGAATGTGAAACCTTGTCGGGGGTTCTAATTGTCTTTTTTAAAAATGTAAAGCTTCTCGGGGGCGCCAAACATTTTTTAAGAATGTGAAATCTTCTCGGGGCTCCCAACTCTTTTTTTTCTATTACATGGTGATTAGACCTTCTCTATTGCTTTTACTCCATAGAGGCACAATCAAATTTTATAATTTTTCAGAGAAACAATATTTGTTGGACCGTACTTCAAAAGCGGGGGAAGTTCCGTCAAAATAACTTTTTTTCGCTTTGTCGTACACTTGAAGTTACTCAATTCGTACAAATCTCATAATAAAACATTTCTCCATTTTACTGACTCATTTTATTTATTGTAAAATGGAATTGAATTCTATTTTGACAAGCGTTACAAGAATTAAAACAAAGTTAAAAGTGACCCCGCCCACCCACCCCTTTTCTGTTACTATTAGACAGCGGATTTCTGTCGGGCTACGTCACGATTATAGGTAGGGACGCGCTGCATCGCCGGGACTCAGTAGCGGGTGATAGGTAATCACTGAATTTAATTGTCACTTGATTCCATAAATACAATTAACGATTTATTAATCAAACGGCTAAGTAAATGAGAACTGGAATTAACAGCAGAGTGCAACGAAGCAGCGTTATTCTAATCTCAAATAAACGAAGTGCAGCCGGTAACTGCAATGAATTCCCATCCCGTACGAGCCGTACCGAGTTTGGCCTTGTCTAGCCCGACAGAAATCCGCTCTCTAGTTATTATTGGCTCTGAGACGGAAGTTGAATTTTATATTGATAAATAATAGAATCTAGGATTTTTGTATTTTTACTAAATTTTAATTTTGCCATCAATGTTGACACTTAAATAATAAAAAAATCATATAAGGTGGACAATGAGGTATAGCTGTAAACGCCGCCCCTCTTCTTCGAACCAATGAAATGATTAAGGTGGAGGTTGTGCAAGTGAGAAGGACATTTTTCGTGCAACTTCACACTGGTTTTATTTAAAAGTGTCCGCCATTTTTCTTTTTCCATTTGTCATTTTTATTCATTTATCGGTGTGGTGTTTAATCAGCGACATGCGGAATCCTTTCTAATTTATGTTTCTTGCCAGACATTTCCATATCTTTGGAAAACTGTTAATTTTAGTACACGAAAAAGTGAGGTTAAGTTGCATTATATCCATTGTCCGCTGTCATCGATTCAATTTTGGGTTTGCACAATGTCTAAAAAAAGTAATAAGGCCAGCTTAATGAATATTTCAATTACATGTCACGTGTTTTGTGAAAGTTATAAAATATTCAGTATTTCAAAAGGGAAAACCCCTCCCTGTCTTACTCCCTCCGTTGTTTTAAAGGGTATTGGGGAAACGTACTTTCTTTTCTCCAAGACTTTCCAGATTGCTTCTCATTTAATTGAGTCGAAAGAGTTCATATTCATAAAACTTGAAAATACTGTTTTGTTTTTACGTAGTGCTTTTTCTATTATTTGATTTTTCGGAATCGGTTTGTTCATCCTGTAGTTTGTTCTCTATTTGGTCTCTTGAGTTTTTTCTTTTCTCAGTAATTATTTAATAAATTTTTTCTGCTATATACCCCACACTCTCTTTTACTTCTTTTTTTGTATTTTTGTAAAATTGGTCCATTCTTGTGCTATTTTCTTTCCCATCCAGACTCTGTTAAATATAATTCTTTCTTTGCTGCTTCTCGAAGGTATCTTATCATTTCAGATGCCATGTCATTACATCCTTTGATTCTTCTTAGTACGTCGTCTAATTTTTCTTCTGATATTAGTTCCTGATTATATTCTTCTGTTGTATTTCCATTAATTTCACATGTTTACATATTGTGATCTTACTAGCGTCGTCTTTGTTTAATAGTTCTTCTGTGATCTGTAAAAGAGTTTCGTATTTTCTCGTCACATTTGTTCTAAAATGTGTCCAAGTTTTTTCCAGCTTCTCTTTTTTGCCTCTCTGACATTTGCCTTTACTATAATTCTCCGTTTCTTATACTGCTCGTATTTGATTGATTATTACCTAGATACTAATTTTTTTCCTTGATTTCATTTTTTATTTGTTCGCTCAACCATACTGTTTTTTCCTTCCTCGTTCCTTTAATTATTTCACCTACTTCTTTTATTGAGCTGATAAGGGTCTCTTTAAAAATGTCCGCTTTTGTTCTGTCTTTATGACATTTCTTTTTGCCTGATTTTATCTTTCACTTTTTTGTGTACGTTCGTCTTAGTGTAGTATCGTGCCTTGCGAGATTTAAATTGTGTGTGCACCAAAACAACAAACAATTTGTGGAAAAAAGTTGGTAACCTAATTGTTATAGTGCTGCAATTGCTGTTCGTTTTTATGACTGCATCCTATTGTGAAGGAGTTAAATGTTCCACAATAGGCCTCCGCCGCAAGTAATCCAGCGGTTATAAACCATCAAGGGACCAACTGTCTACACTACACAGGGCCGTATGCGCCCGTAAATTTTTAAGATGATTTATGGCACGGCTATTTACATTTTCAATACAGTTCCTAATACTTGCGGTAATTGAGATTGCAGTGCCATAAAAACGAAGTCAGAGTTGGATCACTATACAAGTATAGTCCCCCAAATACTACAAGGGTATATGGCCCCACTAAACTTAATAATGGGTTGCTATAATTCCTTTTGTGCTCAAGCTTAGCGTCATAAATCAAGGATTTGTCTCGATATCTTGCCAACTCAATATCTACTCCTGGGTAATCCGTTTAAAGATTTTTGGTGCATTAAACCAAACACAATTTGTCTGTTCATGTTTCGAAAAATATTCCATTTTCTCAACCGTCTCTGGAATGGATGACTAGAAACATTCCAATGAGCCACAATCGCGCCACCTAGCGATCGCTGAAAGTGTGTACAGTTTGTTAACCCAATCCTTTTTTTTTTTTTCTTTGTTTTTTGTCCACAAAGGTAGTAATCAAGAGATTATCATTAAGAAATAACGTTGTGTGACGGTAGTCACAAGTCATCGACAGTCAAATTCTCATTAAAAGTTAAATCTTTCATTCCATTTTTCAAATTATTTAAATATAACGTATATTATCATAATTGTTAATGTGCTAATAATATTCATTTATGTTGATTTTTTTTTCAAAACTTATTGTTGTGATAGTAATGTGCGTACAATTTAATTGTTTTGATGCCGTCGTTACTATCCTTGAATGTTGTTTTTCTGTTGTATTGCTTCTTCATAACTAACATGTATATTTATGAAGAAAAAAACACTTGGTTGTTGCTTGCATCATCCTTGAAGTACGTCTAAATCAAGACTTGAATCTGACATTATGCATCATTTTGTAAACTTTTTTGTTTGATGTAAAGAACAACAACTGCATTTTATCAAAAACTAATAGAAAGCAATAACAATAGGATGAAGTTTTTCGTTCATGAATAGATTTGAACAGCCATTTAATTGCTGGAAGAATTTTTATATTGTAAAAAATATTAAATTTTCAGCAGATATAATTTTATTGAACTAATCAGTGTGACAGACGTTTTTTCGGGCAGTAGGAAAAAACAGTTGAAAATAATTTAACACTAGAGACGCAATGCAAATTTTTGTATATTCAGTTGTTGAATGGCGGTAATTTTATTATACGAAAAAGTGAGGTTAAGTTGTGGCATTCCGCATTGTTAATTGTCGCCGATTAAATTCTAGGTTTATTGTGGACATACTTTACAATGTTTTCAGAAAGTCAAGGCCAACTTAATGATTTTCAATTGAACACGTGATATGCACCGGGGCATATTGCTGACAGTAGTGGTGGACAATAGACAAATTGTGTTTATTATAAATTAAAAATATATTGGAATGTGATCACAAATGGTGTCTGTGCTATGCAACAAAATACCAATCGTTGACGAATTTCAGATCTCGACACAGCTCCCAGTGCTTGTAATTTTTGTGTAAACAAACTTAATTTGATACTAACACAATATGACTTTTTAATTGGCACTTAATTAATCTAAGGCGTAAGACAAACGCTGTGCAACTTGTCCTTGATGGTTCAGTTTTTTATTTTACTTCATTGCAGTATAATAATACTGTATTTGTCGTTTTATTTTATATAGTTGATGTCGGGTTTTTAAAAATTTTAATCGGTCTGAATTAAACCGGAACTTTCTTACTGATGTGGGTTGCTAGTTGTATAAAAGTGAATATTATTTTTGTAATGTGAATTTAAAAATTACAAATACCAGTTTATGAAAGTAAATGGAGTTTTTCTGCCTTGAGAAGTAAGCATTTAAATCAATAGCAGGCACTTTATTAAAGTTTGTTAAAGTGAGACCACAAGCGGTGTTCAAAATTTAAAAAGAAACTAATTTTTACTTTGGCCTGTGAATTTACCTCGAGATCACAAAAGTTACATTAACAATTTCACTTTATATGTACGGACTAGATTAAGAATTAATTTAAAATTTTATTTTCATCTCCATTTTATATCAAATTGCAACATAGTAAACACAACGCTAGAATTATGAAAGTACTTGATGTTATGCAAGTTCGACCAGTGCAGCATAAAAACGAAGAATTGAAGGTTTAAAAGTTTTAAACTTGACGCAATGAATTGTTTTGTGTTTATATAATATTAAACGTTTCAGGTAGTAAGTTTCATGAAAATTGTGAGATACAACAATCTTGATCACTTGACATGATGAATGTCAACTACATTATTTTCGTATTTCAAAAATAACAGTATTGTTAAAGTCTGAAAGGCTTAAAATATGGTTCTTTTGATATTTACATAACTAAAATCCATTACACGTATTTTGCTTTATTCCTTTTTGAAACTCCTTGATGTATAATTACGCAGTAGATTTTCATTAGGTGACACATTTCAAGAAGTTCTGTACCTAAAAATTTACATGTACATATGACTTTACACCGTTACGATTTGCTTAATAGAGGCTTACCTGCAGCTACTAAGAAGCGTAGCATACTTAGTTAGATCTGAAGTCCCTGAGTATTGTTTATTACTAAAGTGCTGTCCATCTGTGTGTTTGTTCGTCAACGATAAGTCAAAGACGCTTCAGCAGACTGCTTTAATTTGGCACACCCACACGTTAAATCACTGCTTCCAAATAGTTTCTAGTGCTGATTGCACGATAGGATGGAAGCGGAAGGAAGTTTAAAAAAAATACTGTGAAAATAATTTTTCTAAGATCAGATGCTCGCAATGGGTCCAATTAAAAAAAATTGACACACAATCAGACAAGAAAATCTGTGGGCACAAACAAACCATCTAAAACTAAAAACTGACAGCAAAAGAACAAAACTAGTAACACTAAAGTTACTCTGCTTGAAAGTTGGCACACACTCACTTTCATTTGTGATGGGCTAAATTTGAGCGTCTGATCCTAGACTATGGCATTCTTGGGTACACAACTAAACTAAAAGGCACGTCCCTATATAACATTACTTATAATATACATTGTCTAGTATGTTGGACTATAATTAATTACGTATATTATAAAGCGTTTAGACCGCGTACAGTCATTAGCATGCAGTTCAACTGAAGGTCTACGTAGAACTCATCACTCCGATCACAGATTACGTCGCAGCCCAGACTTGAACACAACAAGCAATACGAACTACATCTGGTCCACTCAGTGAGAGGGGATTGCGCCATCTAGAGCGTTTCAAAGTTGTAAGAATTTGTTGAATTATACTAAACGCACAATGAATATTGTTAATCGTATCTTGTAATAATGATACACGGCATCGCATAAATCGCACTTCTGGACACCAAGTTACCTTAGTACGGTTGGAAATTTCCTCGTACGTCGTCTAAGATCAAAATCTAATTTGTAGAGGACGAGTACTCGATAGGTGGAATTTTCTTACAATCTGCAGTGAATCAGCTTTTACTGTTGTGGTGAATCGCAGACGGTATACAGCTTACAGTTAAAGATATCGATGTGTGTTAAATCTGTCGCATGATCCGAACGTCATTGCTGGTGTTTTTTGTTGTCGTCGTCAGTGTTACACGAGCACAGCACAAGAAATATTGACTGAAATGTTCAGGGACTAGATTGATAATCTGATAATATTTTTATTATGGAATCGGTATGATCGGGTACGATTGCAGCGACATCACACTAAGTATGCATGTTGGGCACAATTAACACAAACGTACACAACAATATGTATTTATTTCAACAAAAGTATAACTCGCAGTTTTTAAAACACAAATATAAAGTTAGCAGAAAACTTACATTATAATTCGAAATGTTAGACTATTTTGCTCTAGTTGAGGTGCGATGATATAGTTTGTCTCTTTCTAATTGTACAACCACTTGTTTGCAGGTTTACTTCAACGGGACTTCCAAACGTCCCAGTGTTAGCCTGTACGGTAGCACTTCCAGCAGCGACGATAAAGACCGACTAAACGCCGCTAGTAGTTCCGAAGGAGACGACAAAACAAAGAAGAAACCTCACGTTCGAAAAACAGCCAACAACAACAAAACGTCAGACAAACGACGTAAACGCCACAGCGCCTCCAGTAAACTCGACAGCAGCAGCGAAGAAGACACCAAGCGTCAACAGCAGCAGCAGCAACAACAACAACAACAACAACAGCAGCAGCAACAACAACAACAGCAACAAAAGTCGAAAAAGAACTGTGGACAACTTTCGCGGTTGATGAAAGAAGAACTAGGTTATTCGGGTAGTGACAGTGATGAACTCATGCCGATACGATCGACGGCACAACAGAAACCGGACAGAAAACAAATGTCGTCGATATATTCGGATAGTGACAGTTCGGACGTTTCAATGAACAAAGCTAGTGATTCGCACCAGAATAAGTTACGAACGAAAGCGGCAGTGAAGGAGTTTTCGCACAAACCGTCGACCTCGAAGAGTCCGACGAAAGGAAGTCCAGAGAATAAGAAGAAGATCAAAGGGGACGTCGTCAGGAAAGAAAAGGAGAAGAAGGATTACGTTCCTTCGGATTTGATTGTCCCGCAGAGGCAGGCGGCGAAAAAGGCCACCGAGAATTTGAAGTCGACCACGTCGAATAGGGTGGTCAAGGAGCAACAACAGCAGCAGCAACAACAGAAAGAAGAGGAGGTACAACCGAAGATCGAGGAGAAAATTGTCAAGGTGCAGAAAACGAAACCCATCAAACCGAAAGAACTTCTGGAGAAGACCAAGAAAGAGACTATTGGTAAAATTGGTGATGTTTTCGATTTAGACAAAGAGATGGATAAACCGGAGAACCAGGAGATTTTGGCATACGTACCACAAAGACAGGCGGCGAAGAAAGCCGCCGAGCACATAAAGAGTGGGTTGGGTAAACCGGTAGTGCAACCTGTCGCCGCACTTATTGAAGATCCTGATAAGATCAAGAAAGAGACAGAAAGCAGCGCGGTCAATAAGAGTAAGAAAGAGGTGGAGAAGCCGGCGAAAGTGGCCGAAAGCAAACGGAAGTCTTCCTCGAACAGCAGTTCGTCTTCCTCTTCGAGTTCTTCCTCCGACTCGTCAACGTCGTCCGGTTCGGATAGTGACGATGAACCGTCACCGCCAGCCAATCAGAAAGTTTCACAACAACCGCGATCGGAAAGTCTTTTCTCGAATAGTAAAGAACAACAATCGAACAATCGAGAAGCGGCTAAGCGGACGAATGCTAAGGACTGGCCCTTTCTTGACAAGGGAACCAAGCCCGCAGCGCCGTCCAGCTCTAGCAGCTCCGACTCGAGTGATTCTAGCCGTCCCCCCTCTCCAAAACCAACAGCAGTCGATAAAGCAAGTAGTGACAAGAAACAATCAGCTCAGAGAGAGGAACAGACACGACAGCGTGGAAAAGGGAAGCCTACACCACCAACAGCAGCACGAGGGAGGACGAGGCCATCATCCAAGTCTGGTGATAGGGTCAGAGATGCTAATGTCAGGGCTAGAAATATGTCTGATAGCCAACGTAGCGATGCTAAGTGTAGGAAGGGAAAACAGGATGAAGTGGGGGCCGAAAAAGAGGCAAAGCCCGTTAGCAAGCTACAGTCTCCGATCAGGAAAACGGATAAAAAGTTGAGCAACGAAAGCAATAACAGCAAAGAAGCGGAAGTTGTGAACTTGGAGAAAGAGATACTCGAGAGGAAAGCTGGAAAACAAGGGTCGTCTAAGACAAAGTCGACGTTGGATAGGTTGTTTGGTTCAGCCGATAAGAAAGAAGAAAAGAAAGCGCCCAATAAAACGAAGCCCGCAAGGCCGGAGAAAGTCAAATCTACAGTTAAAGAAAACAAAGAACCGGAAAAAGTTACTTCGCCCATTAAGAAGTCACCCGTTAAAAGTAAAAACATCGATGAAATCTTCACCCAGAAGACTATACTAAACGAAAATAAAATCGAAGTGAAAGAGAAGGAAAAAGAAAAAGAGCGGGAGAAAGAAAGAGACAGAGGAAAGAACACACCAAAACAAGAGGAAGTCGTCGTGGCGGAAATCCCGAAAATAGACGACCTGAAACCAAAAGAAGACAAAATTTCTCTCGATTCTGACGTAGAGAAGAAACTACCTCAGAACAGATCGATTTTCTCACCTCCTCATCTCAAAGATAATCTACTAGATTTCGACAATTTAGACGATGGTTCGTATTAGTTTTCGTTTACTTAGTTTCGTTTTGCTTTTGTGAGTACGCTTTTTACCAAAGTTCTTATTTTCACAGGTTTCGGCATCTCCAAAGACGAAGAAATCATGAAAGGTCCTCTAACGTTCAACTTCGGTAACACTTCCCTGTTCAAGGAAGACTCGAAGGAAGACAGCGCCCGCGAAACCCTCAACTTGGTGGAAAAACTTCGCATGGAGCTGTCGAAGAAGTCCACCAGTTGCGACGTAGACGATGGTGCTAGCGTGTCCTCGAGTACCAAAAACGAGAACGACCGCACAGAATTCGCCGAACAGGTGGTACCCAATAGCAATATCGGTGCAGAAAGTAAAACTGAGCCGAAACTGGAGGAAGTGGCTACCGTTAATTTGGAAATGAGGGTGGAAGTGACCGACACCACGCCGTCAAGAACGAAGAGTTTCGACGATAGAGGGCAGCAGCCGGACTATAGATATATGAGTTGCGAGGCGGACGTGCCTCTAGAGCAAGACAACAAAAACATTCCGATAGAGCAGCATCACGGATTGGTTGATCATGGGATCAGCGGTCAAGGCGACGAGCGGTGGGTGCCGCCGAGCAACGAGGGTTACAACAACGTTCAGACCATAGGTAATGCTAATTGGTGGTTTGGTGTTGTAGAGGCGTTGTATGTAGTGGTACTACCGTTGACATTATTTGCACTGGTTTGGTTTAGTTACAAGGGACTGCATTTTTTGCGGTATGTGGAATGTTTTAATAAATTTTATTGTTTTAAGTTCAATCATGAAATGTTATTATAAAAGTTTTATTTGATGTTTTGGAATTTGCCAAATTTTGAATGTAAGCACTTTGTTCTGGAGAAATTTTTTGTTGATTCGTTGAATAAATGGTGAAATGGGTTTATCAATTTTTTTCTCTCATTAGAAAAGTTGATGATGTAATAATGAGTGTCTAAGTTGAGTTAAGGAAATTGAGTTTCTGAATTGAAACTAAAAAAATTACTGAGAAAGATGGACAAAAAAAGTGACAAAAAATTTCAGGTATGTATTACAAAACGCTAGAGCTTATCGTGATTCCAAGTATGGGAAAAAAATTTATTTACAAAAAATAGGAGATTCTTAGCACGCTCTCTTTATCATTCCCATTCAGCGTTATCGACTGTTTCCAAACAAATTGTTGGCATGTGCTTTCCGCAATGGAAGGTTGTATTGTATATTTGAAAAATGCAGCCGCTAATGACTTTGTTTTCTTGTAGATCCCTCAAGTTACGGTGGCGAGCACCAGCCGCCGCCACAAACGTCTCAGACGCCACAACACTTCCTGCAGCAATACTCAACGCAGCCTCATCACAAACCCGACGCAGTCATCAACACGTTACCTCCGCAAATCGAAATGCGCCTCCACGAAGAAACACTCAAGAACAATCCATCCCCCACGTTACACGATCGAAGAATCTCTCAAACACCGCTTAACGACGCTGCTTCCATGGACTGCATGCCTAGTCCTTCACCGTACGCCGACATACATCCGCAAGCGAAATGGGCCGACAGCGAGCTAATGCCCAACCGACGCTCTTCGTCCAGCTCGGCGGCTTCTACCTCCAGCTCGTGTTCGCGTCGTAACGACGAAGACGAACTGAAGATGCGCCAAGACGTCATGATGGTCAACCACCAAGCGCTAGACATGGGCTACCTCCAGCCCGGCCTCCCCTTCCCCGAACCCTTCTCCAGCTTCACAGAAACGTCCCAATTCGTAAGTCCTGTCAGTTTATTCCCTCCACCTAGTTTAAACACTTCGCTGGCGTTTCCCTCCACCGGCCCAGCAATGTTTCCACCCGCTTTCGGTGCCCCTTTCCCCGCCCCTCAGGTACTGCCAACCTTGCCGAAGCCGGTAGAGAACGTCCAGTACTCTTCGGCTTGCACCGCGACGTTCACATCCTCGCAGCATAACATGGCGCTGACGGCAGCTATGGTGAACTTGCCGCCGAGTATACCCAAGGAGGTGGAGTCGCCGCCTGAGGAGGAGGTAGCGCCCGCAGCTCCGCCTCCAGTGGAGGAAACTCCGCCCCAGAGCAACACCCTCTCGTCGCCCAGTCCTTCCATCAAGTCGAACAGTTCGGGCAAGAAGTCGCCCAGTAAGCCCACGAGGACGTCGGCGAGGGTGACCTCTCAAGGGAAGAGTCCCAAACAGCAGCAACAGCAGCAGGAGATCGCGAAAGCTAGCGCAGGACGGGGACGCGGTGACGCTAAACGCAACTCAGTGAAAAGCAACGCCTCTAGAGGCGGTCAGATAGTGAGGGGGCGCGGCAGAGGGCGGGGCCGCGGTCGGACGCATGCGCACAACGATTACGAGTACTTGGGTGCGAATACTATTCACAATAAGTTAGTGGGTACCGTGTATGATCTCGATTTCGACGACGACATCTCTAACGAGAATGTCGATCTCAAATCGATGAGGGAAAGGAGAAAGTCGGTGGACGTGCAAAAGACGGAGGCTAAGGATAGCTCGGAGTCGCCGTCGCAGAAGAGCACCAGATCGTACAACGATTTGAGGGAGTTGAGGCCGCCCACTCCCGTGGAGGAGACGCCGGCGAAGGTTGCCGAAGTCGAGCCGATGTTTGCCGACATGGTCCAGCCGGTGCTTCCGGGTCCCGTCGACATGAGGACGTACAGCGGTGGCGGCAACTTCGACCAACAAAACTACAACGAGGCTAATCTTCTGGGTGCTTTCGTCGGTACCGCTGAGACGCAAGTGAACGAGGAAATCGACGAAGAGTTCGAGAAAGAACTGCAGACGGCACTGACAGCGCCCAGTAAGAAACCGGAGGAACCTCCGGCGCCGGAAGTGGGTAGTAATAACATTAAGGTGTCGCTGTCGGATTCACGAAATCAACTCAAGGTTAAGATCAAAGGACCTATAGCGAACTATTCGTCGACCATGCCTTCCCTGCCTCCGCCGACCGTCGATCCGGTCAACGTTTCGAACATGAACTTCGTGTCGAATAACGTCATCAGTAACAATTCGATAGGTGTCAGTTCGGGTACCTCGAATCTGCGACGGATGAGGAAGAAGGAACTGCTGAGGCAGTACTGGACGCAGGACATGAACATGGACGATTCGTCTTGTGCTCCCATTAACGCTACTCCTACCGTACCTCCAGTTAATCGTACTATTATCACTATACCTAAGGCTGTGGCTTCAATGACCAGTATTCCTACGAAAGATGATTACAGAGATTACCGCACAGGCTCGGATGATATCGAGCCCACGAAGCATCATCGGAAAGAGACGAAAGCGCGACCGGGAGCGCTGTCTCGAGAGCTTCGCCAGTTGGACCTGTGCCTGGACGAGGACGGGCTTCTGGAGAGGAGGCGGAGCATCGGCTCGGTGGGCAGCAACAATTCCGGCTTGTCGACCAGTTACGACTCTTCGTTGAACAAGAGGCGGGGTCGGCCGCCGCGCCCCTCCCAGCAGACTGGCACGCCCAAGATCAAGATCAAGATCGGCAACAGCATAGTCGGAAAGGTGGACGACAAACGGGATAGAATACGACCGCCGAAGAAACGTCTTGCCAACATCAACATGCCCAGCGTCGAAGACCTGAAACGCGAAAGCATGAAGTTCCGCAAGCTGGTCATGGCCGACTTCGGCGAGAGCAAAGAGAAACGAAAGAAGAAAGACAAGAGCGAAAAGCGGAAAAAGAAAAAGTCCAAGTCGGAAGTGGTGCAGATTATTTCGAACGAGAGTCAGAAATTGATCATACGGATAGGTAAGAAAGTGGAGAGTGAGAGGACTAGTGGGGAGGGTGGTGGTGGTGAGGACGGTGCTCCGATCAAGTTCAAACTGTCTCGATGCCAGGAGGGCAGCGGCTACGTGATGAAGAGGGCGACGCCCACTCAACAGCCCCCCAGCACGGAGACGAAGGCCGAAGAGGCGACGCAGCCTGGACAGCCGCCTCCTCCGACGCCGCCGCCGCCCCTGGACGGCGCGCTGGACGGGGTGCCGCCCCCGCCTCCAACCTTCAACAAAGACTGTGAAGATAGATGATAGTCGTGTACCATTGATCTGTAAAATAATAGTTAAAGAGATTTTAAAAAAGAGTACGGTAGGTGACCAGTGAGGCAGGTTGTACAGACGCTAGCTGCTACTTCACCTGTTTTTAAATCCACGTTGTTAAGCTGTCTAGTGTATGTGTAGGCTAAGCGAGCACATGTATGTCATTAATTTCAGTGTACAAAGTCAATTACAGCCGCAAACTTGTAATCATATTTTTGTACATATTGTAAGTTATGGTATTTGTGAATATAAAATAGTACTAATTTATATATATTAATATCATTTAAAATGATTAACTCGTGTTGACAATTTTGATAGCTAGACTCGTTATAGAATTTCATCAGATATTGTACAGAACAAATGGCTTGAGTGCAATCTTTTTTTATCGGTTGTTTGTTGTGAGAGAGCCATTATTTTATTATTGTGTACAGTTTTTATTTTTTAACTATTTTCTCGTCTACGCGACATTGTACTATAAATTACCTACTTAAAGATTTTATTATATTTATAGTTATATATAGTTAATTTTATTTTTTATATTCTGAATATGTTTTTATAAGTGTACGTGTTGTATCATAATAGTTTACTTCAAGTATTAAAGCACAAGCCATTTGTTGTTTCATGTTACATGATACAAAATAATATTATAATAAATATAAAATATGAACAAAATCAACTAATTTTCTATTATCGTACACACAATTCCCCCACACTCAATTTCTTTTTTTGTTCTGATGAACTTGGTTTTACCTGTACTATACAAAGTAAGGCACATTATCGTAATGTTGTACTTATGTTACATACATTTCGTTGTCAGCGGGTCTGTAAAGCGTGTGTGTATAAATACACAAAATGTTCACATATAGTTGATTTGTGAATTACATCCTGTTTTATATAAAACTCTGATTGTGACTTGTGTTGTCATTTTTTTTGGAAGTCCTTTCCATGCTGACAGTTCATAAAAGTAAATAACACATATATTTTCAATATTAATAAATAAAATGGAGCATTCAAATCTAATGGTGTCGGTCTAAAATGTACGTTGTCTTGCATCTACAACTTTTTAAAAGTTTCCTAATTCTTAACATCAATCTATAATAGTAGAACGTTACATTTACTTCAAGTTTTATATCTTTGAACTAATAATTGGAGGTTTTAGATAACAAACATACATAAAAACATTAAATTTGCAGAAAAGTTTTCTAAAGTTATGCTTCTTGTATTTTAAAATTAACCAGTAAATAGTAATCTATATTACTAATAATAACAAATGTTACGGGAGTTATTAGTAGCTTATCAATATCTTGATATAGTCATAATTTTTTTATGATTAAAAGGCCACCAACCATGCGAAAGCGAAATGTTGGTTGCATATTTACACTTGCTGCGCGGGATTTTTAAACGTAGTGAACTGGTGAATGCAGTGCCCCAGTTTTCAGTCCATTAGCGGTTCACTGAGTGGTATGATTGAACAAAAAGGTCGTGATCATTAACATTCACTTTACATTACTCACGAGTCTTTCACTTCAACTTAAACACCGACCAACAAAAAATTATCTTCAGATTTTTGGAGGTTATCAACGTTTCACGTTCCACCTGACATTACGTCAGCGACGTCATCTGCCATTTCCCTGCCCTGTCATTCCATTGTCAAAATTCTTCGGCAACGTGCTCAGTGGTGTTAAGTGATGGCTGATGAAACCGAAAAAGTGCTGCAAAACGGCACCGCAGAGCCTCCCAAAACAGCGAAACAACTGGAGAAGGAGGCCAAGAAGCAGGCCAAACTCGACAAACTTAAGCAAAAACTAGAAAAACAGCAGAGTGCTGCTCCCAAAAAAGAGAATGAGGTAAGCATGTGTTAATATTACAACATATGTGGTTCAGTATTTGAGGGAAACGGTTTTGTCATAGAAAAAAGAGAAGAAAAAGGAGGTGAAGGAAGCGGCTGTGTACAGTATTGCAACCCCTGAGGGTGAAAAGAAAGATATCGAGCATTCTTTGCCTGATGCCTACAGTCCGGGATTTGTGGAAGCCGCGTGGTACCCGTGGTGGGAGAAGCAGGGCTTCTTTAAACCGGAATATGGGGTGAGTGTTTGTTGACTCTGGAAAATAATTGGCTGACGTAATAATTTGCATAATTAGGTGGTTGGGGGTGATTTTCATTTAGCTGTTGTGCAATCTTATTTGCATTTTTTTCTGTTTAGAGAAAATCCGTTTCTGAGCCAAATCCAAAGGGGAAGTTTATTATTATTATTCCACCACCTAATGTCACAGGATCGTTGCATCTTGGTCATGCATTGACTAATGCAATTCAAGATTCCATTGTGAGATGGTGAGTATTTTTTGAAAGTAAACCCATTTAACAATTTCTATTGCTGATGCTTTCATACAAAATAATTGGCAGGAAATATTTTCCTTATACTACAATTGCAATAAAGTTGATTGTGTATCTTTGTAGTTGATCTTTTTATATCATTTTTATCAATAGAAGTAAAGTTGAATGGTCAACTATTTAGTTTAATAGTTCAAATAAATGATAAATAACGCAAAAGTAATCCATTTATGCTGTAATAATATTTTTCTTATCTAATTGGCCAGCTTTACAAATTTTATTTTACATTACTTGTTAATCGTGCTGAAATTTTGTGATAACCTTTTCATGATAATTAATAATAATTTAATGATCTAAATTTATTCGATAATCTAAATGTACTTACCTGCTATTTACTGACAACGGATACGATACTCTTTTTTGACATATATTATGTATATGTAAACGGCTCTAATGTTATAATTATTCAATTTTTTGTTATTTATAGATATTTTTTTGATCTCTAAACAGTTTTAAAATGACTGTCAATTGATTACGAGTGTTGATCATGCAACTAGTTATGCTAATGTGGGTTGGTATTATCCATTCACGATCTTTTCGAAATAGAGTTGGCCGTGAAATATAGTAAGTTTGTTGGTAGTCAGTACTGAATAATCAAAATTCCCTGAATTTTCTTGTTAGATGCTATGTTGTTTTAGTGTAAGCTTAGGTAAAATGGGTCAAGAACATAAACATTGTTGACAAAATTAAACTTGCTATTTATATATTGTGTGACAAAGTTTTGACATTGTTAAAAAACATTGTAATTTTTTGTTTCACGAATTAGTAATGTTGGTTGCATAATGATCGAATTTTAACAGTGTGTTCATTCTGTCGTTTTAAAATTGAACATAGGCCTTTGTTGAGAATTAAAAAAAACCTCGGTATATCTTTACATATTTAGTTTTTTTTTTTATGAAAATAGAAAATATGGGGTTGTAGACGAAAAGTGCAGGATTTATGTCGATTACTACAAAAATTTACCATTTTAACATGTTTTAATTTCCTTGTTAGCGAAATAAGTCTACATATATTAAGAAAAAAATCCCATCCGCCCTATCACAATTGTGATGATTTCTTTTAATTCGTCATGAGCCACAGGGGCGGGGCTTAACTGCAAAATCCTTATTTCTCTACGAGAAATTAAAAATATGTTTTTGAGTGTTTTCAAAGAATACTATATATATTAAGAAAAATAATGTCAAAGATTAGGCCCCACCCATACCCGCCACGATCTCAGTTCTCAATTGTGATGAATTTTTGATTCGTTGTCAGATCGAGGGGCGGGGCTTAATTGCAAGATCCATATTTGTCTACAAGAATTTACCATTTTAAACATGTTTTAAGTTTCTTGCTCTGAAAAGACGACTACGTATATTAAGAAAAAAAGCAAAATATAAGCCCCGCCCACCCGCCCTATCTCAATTGTGATGTTTTTTTTTTATTCGCCGTGAACCAAGAGGGCAGAGGTTAACTGCAAAATATTTAATTTCTTTACAAGAAATTAAAAACATGTTCTTGAGTATCGTGTTATTTAAAGAATACTATGTGTATTAAGGATAAAGTAAAGCCAAGGATTAAGCCCCACCGATACCTGCTCTGATCTAAATAGTAATGAAGTTTTCATTAACTACCATTTTAATAGTATATTAAAGAACGAGTTTCATAAGGCAAATATTGAGGCACGAATCCAAGTTTATAGAACGAGCGGCGAAGCCGCGAGTTATATAAAGGATGAGTGCCTCAATGGCCTTATGAACGAGTTATTTATACTATTTTTTCTACCGCACACGTTTTTTCCCAAAATTTAATTGAAATTTGCATTTTTTTTAATCTGGGGACTTTTGTCGTGGTTGGTGATGGGTCGGTCAGACACTAACCACGAAATATTTGAGGTTCGAATTTTCACAACAACAATTGTAATTCGAACCAATTCGAGTTTTTGTAATTTAAAATTGGTTAAAATGTCTTGCGAAGAAGTTACGTGTCCGGAAACATGGAAAATTTTAAGTTTAGATTTGCCACTGACATTCACCTGACATTTCTCGTCATTGCTACCAATCTTACCGATCTAAATTACACCAGATCTATTAAAGAACGCCTTTCCTCTATTAACGAACTGCTGTGACGTCATTTGCGTGCGTTAATAGTTCTATTAGAAAACCAAAAAACGTGGGCGGTAGAAAAACGTGTTTTAAATTTCTAAGCATTAAAAAAATCATCACAATGGAGATATATATTTTGCCTTTTTCTCTTAATATATATATTGAACAACACGATACGCAAGAACATGTTTTTAATTTCTTGTAAAGAAATAAATATTTTGCAGTTAACCTATGCCCTCCTGGTTCACGGCGAATAAAAAAAAATCATCACAATTGAGATAGGGCGGGTGGGCGGGTTTACATTTTGCATTTTTGTTTTAATATATGTAGACTTCTTTTCACAACATGAAACTTGAAACATGTTTAAAATGGAAAATTTGTATAAGAAAATATCGATTTTACAATTAGGCTCCGCCCCATAATTGCAAAATCTATATTTCCTTGCAAAAACCATTTTAACTATGATTTAAGTTTCTTATTATGAAAAGATGGCTATATACATATATTAAGAAAAAGAAGGCAAAATATAAGGTTTTTTTTCGACTATTTATGCAGTGTGATTATTATGACAAACTTCAACGAATTTTGTATCAAAAGAAAGCTTACGTGAGGACAAACTCGAAAACATTATAAAATACCAAAGTGTTCCATTTGAACTGTATCAGGAGAAAATCGACGCATTGCAAGTTTAATCACCCTGTATAAATAAGTCAAAACACTCCTAAAGTTTTTATACAATTTGCCAAGGCCAGTTAATTAAAAAGTTTTAGGCAAAGTTTCGGACCTTCACCTTTAAATATGGGGGAGTTGAGAATTTTTAAATATGACCACTTTTTTATACGAGAATGTATTTACCTTGAAAACTGATAATCAAAAAACCTTCGTATCACATTTCGTCTTTTCTAATAAAAAATTTTAACCTGTAAAAATTTAGAGTTAGAGTTTTTACTTTAAAAAAATTGATCGAAGGTTATTTCCACGGACTTCCCTCTATGCATCTCACAAGTAGAGATTCATCATATTTTGTACATTTTAAAAATGATTTATTCGCAAACTTTTGAGATGACGTCATCTATTTTTTGAGGGGATAAACAGATATGTTTTGGTTAAAAATTTACCATGCTTAGGATAACTTCAAAACGTATGCAAGATTTTAAAGCATTCAGTTTTGCGGTTCCTGATTTAATCAATAAAATGTACTGACTCATTCATTACTTTTTTTGAGTCTGCCTGTATAAGCAGTTCTAAAAAAATTAATCACAAAATTTGGACGTTTTAAATAGGATTTATTCGGCGAAATTTTGAGGTGACGTCATCAAGAGGGGGAGGGGGGAGGTTAAACAAATATATTTTGATTAAAATTTACCATGATTACGATAACTTTAAAACATCTAGAAGATGTTCCCATGAATCTGGATGCGTTGGGTACAAAACTCAACACGGATTCATAAACTACACGAGTAGGACTCTTATTTTATACAATTTCAACACTCATTTATTATGTACTATTTTGAGGAGACGTCATCACATTGTTGCTGATTAGACAAAATTTGGTTAACGTCTTACTATCTACAAAATTAACAATTTTGTTTACCACAAACAATGTGATTGTAAAAATCCATTCGCACTACTAAAACAGCTATAGGTACATATATTTTGAACATATGTTGGCGTTAGTTTTTTAGATATACCGAGTGTCCCAGTTAAAATTCCACAGCCGTATATCTTCAGGACGGAGAGAGATATTAAAATTCCGTAAACACCATTGGTTTTAGTTTAAAGGGGAAAGCTTAATTTAGTACAGTGCAAATATGACCTACCTATATAAAATATACTCATATTTTTTCAAATTGCAACGTAACTTTTTTTAACGGATTTATGAAAGTTACTTTACAATAAATACAGAAAATGAAGCTTAAACGAAAATTTTTCTTAAAAAAATCGAAAACTTTAAGAAAAGCTTTTACCAAATTTAATAGTAGCATAAAACAAATAAATTTTTACAATTAGTATCCTTGTGGCAAATTTCTTGTTGCTCAGGGTATTCATAATACGCAATACATATAAAATTTGACAACAATCGGTCCAATAGTTTCGGAGATTAATTGTTTAACAAAAATTGACACAGATGGCGACAGATCGACAGACAGAAACAGGAAACTTTTGTACTCATTGAGTAATGACACATCGAGAAAGTGTGAAAGTAATTGCCTGATGGACCCGAAAAATGCAAGTTTAATGCATAACTTTCGGAGCATACATTTTTTTATTATTTGAACATAATTTTAAATTGTAACCCTGAATTATTCGTTTCCGGCTACTTCAAATATTTGTTTCAATATTTTGGGACATTTGTATATTGTTATACAGATTTTAACAAATGACCTACTCTCTAAGAAAATAAAGGGCGGGTAGGCGGGGCTAGTACTTGCCAGCATTAGACTGATATTGCTAAATAAAATACCCTTTCAGAAAATAAAGGGCGGGTGGGCGGGGCTAGTAATTGCTAAGATAAGACTGATTTTGCCAAATGACATACTTTCTAAAAAAAATAAAGGGTGGGTGGGCGGGGCTAGTACTTGTTAAGATAAGACTGATTTTGCCAAATGACATACTCTAAAAAAAAAAATAAAGGGCGGGTGGGCGGGGCCAGTTCTTGCTAAGATAAGACTGATTCTGCTAATTGTTTTTTTTTTTTTGCTAAAGGTTTGTCATTGTTGATCTACAATTTAAAAATCATGCTGATGCTCTGGTATATAACCTTTCACTATAGGATAGATAAAGAATGTAGAATTAATTTGAAAATTTTAGGAATATTGGAAAGGAGGGAAATCCGTCTTGGAATCCTTCCACTTTGTAGGGAAAACCCCTGTTTCAAAAAATGTATTAAATATTAATAGGAGTAGCTGATAATAACAAATCCAAAAACGGATAATCCTTATCACGTCAGGTTTTTTCATAAATCCAAATTAATGAACTTTGCTTTACCTTCACGTTTGTGTTAAACTGATTCATGTTAATGCACAATTGTCGCATAAAAAATGTCTTCGAGATCATGGAAAGTAAGTGCAAATCAGTTTTGTTACATTTGTGGTAAAATTATAGTACCTGAAGCGGGAAGACCTGTTCAAATTTGCTTAAAATGAAGGTATAAAGGTTTTTGGGATGAAAATGTGTTACTGTTGGTCTATTATAAGGGAAACTGACAGTACTGCCAATAAAAGAACGTTAGTGTTAACCATTTTTAATTTTCAGTCATAATGTTTATAATATATACTGGGTGTTGCTTTTATTTGATACAACCCCTGTAACTTCTTTATTCTTATAGATAAACCTGTATTTCTTTGAGCTAATTTGTATCATTTTAAAAGATCTTTGTGAGGTCAACCTCACATTTTTATTATCACTTCCCGTAGATAAGTCAAAAGCAACCAATTATTCTAAAATCAATACTTGAAAAATTTTAAATAACACATTGATGACAATCTAGTAGCTTGAAAAATTGACACTCATGTTATTTATTTACCTAAATGGTCTTTTAAAAATTTGCTTAAAGAACTATATGTTCATGTATATTTAAAAATAAAAAAGTTATAAGAGTTGTATAAAAAAAAAAAATCCGGGGTATATTTATATAAATATCTCAAAAACCTGACGTGATGGATTTTTTCTGCTTTCAGATTTGAATTTCCCGAACCAAAATCCTTCAGATTCAACTATTTTTGTCTTTGGATATAAAACCTTGTAAACTAGTGTAATTTGGAACTTACAATCCTTAATTATGAACCTTGGGATCTGATCAGATGGCTTTTATTATGTCATCTTCTGTGATCTTAATTATATTTACATATTTTGAACATGTGCGTAATTTACTATAAAAATGTAGAATATATTTTTTGCAAAATTTGCAATATTAATTTTGGGAGTGATTCTGTGACGTGTAGAACGGCTCCAATACATTAAATAGGTATTAAAAAAATATATAATAAACAGATAGTGGAAAACAAAAAAAACTGCCAAAACGGGTATTATTTAATCAGTTTCGTCAAATATTATTCATTCAGTGTTGGTGTTTTTCTGAAAAAAAAAAAAACATGAATATTAAAATTGTGTTTCTTACACTTGCTTTAAATATTCTAGGCACAGAATGCGAGGTGAAACAAGTTTATGGAATCCAGGATGTGACCACGCCGGCATAGCCACTCAAGTAGTGGTGGAAAAAAAATTATGGAGAGAAGAACAGAAAACACGCCACGATATCGGGCGTGAAGGCTTCGTTAACAAAGTGTGGGAATGGAAGAACGAGTAAATTATTTAAAAATTGAAATATTCATCACACATTAACACAATTCCGATTTTATAGAAAAGGCGACAGAATATACCACCAACTGAAAAAATTAGGTTCATCCTTCGACTGGGACAGGGCTCAATTCACCATGAACCCTAGATTGTCGCGCGCCGTAACCGAGGCCTTCGTACGTTTACACGACGAAGGCTACATTTACCGAGCGAACCGACTGGTCAACTGGTCGTGTACTCTCAAATCTGCTATTTCTGACATCGAAGTGGACAAAATCGAGATTCCAGGACGTACATTTTTGTCGGTGCCTGGCTACACTGAGAAAGTAGAGTTTGGCGTATTGGTGTCGTTCGCCTACAAGGTGGAAGATTCCGATGAGAAGATCGTGGTAGCGACCACTCGTGTTGAAACAATGCTTGGTGACACCGCTGTCGCTGTACATCCAGAAGATCCTCGGTACAAACACCTCCACGGCAAATTCGTGGTTCATCCGTTTTGTGATCGACGATTGCCGATTGTAACCGATGAGTTTGTAGAGAGGGATTTCGGCACCGGAGCTGTGAAAATCACTCCTGCGCATGATCCTAACGATTACGAAGTCGGAAAACGGAAAAACTTGCATTTTATTACTATATTTGACGATAAGGGGTACATTTACGGGGACTATGGCATTTTTACGGTAGGTTTGTCTGTGTAGTTTTAATCTTGTTTTATTTTTTGTTTGTTATTATTATTAGGGAATGAAGCGCTTTGAAGCTAGAAAAGCTATCACTGAGGAGCTGAAGAAGTTGGATTTGTATGTTGAAACTAAGAACAATCCTATGGTGGTGCCAGTGTGCAGTCGCAGCAAGGATATCATCGAGCCGATGTTGAAGCCTCAGTGGTACGTCAAGTGTGACGAAATGGCCGCTAAAGCTGTGGAAGCTGTTGATTCTGGAGAATTGAAGATCATACCTGAGATGCACATTAAGACGTGGCATTATTGGATGAATGGGATCAGGGATTGGTGCATTTCAAGACAGTTGTGGTGGGGGCATAGGATTCCGGCGTACTTTGTGAGGTTGAAGAGTAGATGCACAGGAAAGTCAGCCCCAGGTGTAAGTAAACTTTTGATTAATTGTTATAAAATAGTTGGAAAGTGGTGAGCCCAAGGGTGGAAAAATAACCTTCAATCAAAATGCAAAGTATATAGGGCACACTATCGACTCCTATTTTCTAGGGAGAGAAAATGTATGAAATAAGTTTGAAAGGAATTATTTTCTTAGCTGCAAAAGCCTCCCTAGCTCTAAAAAAAAATCAACAGTGAAGGTCTTTTTGTAAGTGGCAGGATTCACGGCGGCGGAATACGGTTTTGCAGATAAACATTCACATGAACAATGACAATTAGAGAAAAACCATCAATTGGGACTCGGACCCGTCACTTCGCCTCCACCACGCGAACGTGTACGTTTATCTCGATTAAAGTACTAGAATTACAAGGAACAAAATAACCAAATTTTCTATGCCATACTCTGTCAAATGAATTTCGTCAATTTTACATCGTTACCAAATCCCATTAAAATCAAGCACATGTGAAACACAGAAATAAAATAAATAAACATAAAATATTAATTTAACTAATAAAACTTACAAAATTCCTTATTCAAAATGCATCACTGTTTAAGAGTAGCTTAAATGCTACTAATTAACTACTTAAAATTGGGAGCGAAAAATTATGAAGTGTGTATAATAACTTAGGGAAAATTATCTAAAACTTTTAGGGAAAATCGTTACTAAAATAAGTTAAATCTGAACAGTGAATTTCCGCCCCGTATTATACGTTCACTTTTTTAGTATTGCCACAAAATTGCCTTCGATAAAATGACAACAAAATTGACGGAACCTTTTTAAAACGTGTTTTCATTGGTACCACAAAATGAGAAGCGAGTCAGGTGACTTTCAAAAACTGTTTTATCACCGCTTCCAAATTTATTCTTTATTCTTGAGATTAGATTCTCGAGATCGGTTGACAATTTCGGGTTGTGTCAATCTAGATGAAACAGTTTTAAATTAAAGATCTCGGGCGCCATTTTTTTATGCCAAAAAATAAAAGTTAGCTCTTCGACGGATTTCTCGTCTTAATTTTTACGAGTTGTCATTACTTGGTGGTGGATGTAACAGTTACGGTGGGAATATATTTAAGTTGGCTGGGAGTGGAGGGTTTTACCGTGACATCTAGTCGTACTATGAAGCCGTAATTGAGGTATGAGGCTAACTTGTAATTTTACCGCCTAATAGATGAGGTGATCAAGTGAAAGGCGCAAGAGCAGCCGGTGCTAAAGCCCAGTTGAATCTATTGTGACGTTCCTTGTTATCTGACCAATGGGAACGCCAGGTTCGTTGTTTACGCGTCGGTCATGAGCTTTATTGCTGCATTTGTCCGGCGAATTTAGTTTAGTCGAGTTGTCTCATTTCAGGTTTTCTTAACATTTCACACCTTAGAATATGCGAATATTTCGTTTCCCTATGACTGTCTGTTAGAGATCTGGTTAAAGCGATAATTTTCGAAAGTTCTGCTCCGAAATTTTAGCTGCATTTTAAGAATATTGTGGAGATGGTAAACCGTTCATTTTCTTTGGGGGGATATTCTCCGAAACTACTGGACCGATTGTTGTAAAAGTTTATACGGATGTTAGGAATATCGTGTAAGTGGTAAAACGTTAACCAATAATTTACTTATAAATAATAGGATGACATCATCTCCAAAATTGATAAAAGTAAATGTTTTTTTTTATTTTGTAGAATAAGATATTCCTGCACTTGTGCTTTATGAATCCGTTTTGAGTAAACATCCAGATTTTTGAAAAAACGAAAATTATATAACAACAATTTAATTTTGAAATTGGTAACATTCACTTGTGAAATTTTGCAAGCTTTGTAAGGTCATAAGTAAGCATTGTAAATCCTTAATCAAAATTTATTCGTTTATCATTAATATAATCAATAAGTGGTACACAGTACTGATATTTTTAGTATTACATTGCACCTATTCAAATTGATATATGTGTCCTTGATAGAATGTTGATGACGTCATCACAAAATTTTCTTATGGAAAAACTCACTGGAAACATACACATAACAGGGTCCTTTACCCATACTTTCACAATTCTTTCTTTTAATTTATAGAAGTTATTACATTATAAAAAAAATAAATTCGAAAAATTAAATTTTATAATTTTTCGAAGAATCTGTTTTTGTTCGTTTATACTTCAATGGCGAGGGAAGTGTCCTAATAATATTAAACCAGTTTTTTGTTCGGAACTATGCTAATTCATTGATAACGCATAAACTACAATGAATTGGTTCCATGAGAGTGCTACAGAATATCGACTTGAATTAATCAATTCATCCCTTCTAGAAAGTTGATGACGTCATCTCAAAAAATTATTAAATGAATGTTCATATAAAAATATACTCTGAGATCGATCGTTGTTGGTGTTTTGGCGCTATATTTTTATTTTTACTTCCTGAGCGTAAGCTAAGTAATCGAGCTCATTGGACGACTGATCACTTTCATGTTTTCTTGACGTTTGATGACCCCTTGAGTACGAAAAATGTAGTCTCCTGTTTCCATCTGTCTGTTTGTCAGAGGTCTATGTTGATTTTTATTAGACAGGTAATCTCCGAAACTACTGGACCGAATGTAGTCAAATTTTATATGTGTACTAAGAATATCATGTAGATGCTAAAATGCTAACCAAAATTTGTTAAATCATCCCTACCAACAATTTGATGACTTCATTTCAAAGAACTCTATTTTAAACTCATTGAAATGTTATACAATAATATATAGAGTTTCTTTTATTTGATACAACCCCTGTAACTTTTTTATTCTTAAAGATAATCCTTTAGTTCTTTGAGCAAAGTTGTATCATTTTAAAAGATCTATGTGATGGCAACCTCGCATACTTATTATCACTTCCGGTAGAACTGGAAATGACGTCAACTTTATTTTTTTTTATGGAATACTAGGTATATTTTTTCATAATTGGAAACATTGGTTTTTCTAAAAATAAAAAGCAACCAATATTCTAAAATCAATACTTGAAAAGTTATTCAACAATTGAAAAAAAAAAATCACAAGAGTGATCTTTTAAAATGATACAAATTTGGTCAAAGAACTATATATTTACCTTAAAAATAGAAAAATTACAGGGGTTGTATCAAATAAAAGAAACACGTGGTACTCCCATACTTGTGGTGTATGAATCCGCTTTGAATTTTTCCCTGAACGGCCAAATGTTCACAAAGAAATTAACAGAGTATAAGATTTATTATTTTATGCCCAATTTGGCCGTTTTTTTTTTTCTCTTTCTCCCACGCTGTGTATTATCTATGTTCATGACGTCACAACAAATTTTTTATTGATCAATTCGCTCTTAAGTGAACCACCTCATTTTCTCGTAAAAGAAGAATACACGTCTTTATTTAATAAGAATTATAATAACATTCAGAACATTCCGTTCGACTCTAGCTTAATTAATATTTTTGTCCTCCGTTTTGAGGTAACAAACTCATTTAAATCAAACAAATTTCTACGTGACAATCTTCCGATGTATAAACAAACACTTGAAGTTAAATTTAGAGGCAATTTTTTCCCGTTGGTTATTTATCTGCGGTAAATATATTTTACATTGTTCGTACTTGTCCAAATTGTACAATCCCTTGCAATTTGCGCCCCCACGGTGGTGTTCTTTATGCCGCTGATTTTTACATGATAGAGGTTATCAGAAAACGAACCTCCCAAAATCTGGTTTTTTAATTTTCAGGAGCGAGTGAAGTTTTGCCGAAATAAACTTCGACCTATTTTTATTTCCTGTACTCGTGGTTTATGAATCCGCCTTGAGGTTTTCCTCGCAAAAAAATTAAGAACGATACGCCCCATCGTTTTATTATTAGTACTCGGTCGGATAAGCCTCGGCGACTGTCGGCTAAACAGCCGATCGGTCGGCTTTTTTTATTAAAATTAAAATAGTATATAAAACAATTAAACCCGGTTTATAGAACCTCAATTAAATGTTGACTTGCGATTTAATTTTTAACCCCGCTTTAAAGTATTGAAGGTAAGCAGAGAAAAATGTTGTGCCTCGGTGGGATTCGAACTCCACGCCTCTCGCTCTCCTGGGAAGTATCCTAACCACTGAACCACGAGGCCACTTATCTTTCTCTGCTTACCGACGTGTTATTGTGCCGACACACTACCATGTGACCGACTCTACGCCAATCAGACGGCGCTAATGGCCTTGTTAAATGCGTGATCAACTTACTCTCAGTTAAAATATTGTACTTATAAACTGGCCCTAAATTGTGTTATTCTTTATTTTTGTACTGAGTTACTAAAAAAATTAAATGTTAAAATTATCCAAACAAATTTAACACATTTTTTGGAAAAGAAAGGAACTTTTACTTTAGTTATTCCTTTTATGAAAATAAAACAAATTTTTAAGGTAGTCAGAGAAATAGAAAAAAAAAACACACTGTCTGTCGCATTTATAAACCGGTTTTAGCAAAGCCGAACAGTCGGTTTGTACTGGCCGAACAATCGGCTAGTCGGTTAGTCGGCCAGACCTACAGTCGGTACATCTCTAGTGATTATAGTATGATGTATTAAAGAATTCAGAAAAACTGCGAAAATTAAAAAAAAATTTTTGTAAGGTGTCAAAAAATATATAGGGTGTCAGTTGGTGTCTTACACTCTCACTGGTATTGTCATTTTTTTTTGAGTTATTTAACACAGAGTGGCAAGACATTTAGAGAGGAGAGTAAAAAGGATATTGTTGTTTGTTACATCGTATTTATCAAAAATTTGTTTGTCTTATGAAAAAAGGCTGAGTTTTTAACAAAATAACAAAAGTCGTACATATCTAGCATAACATGCTGCTCTGCTTGTACCAGTACAATTTTAAATAACTCCAGAGTTATTTAAAATTGATCTCTTGTTATTTCGCAGAATTTCCCTCGTTTCTGAAGTACAATCAAACAAATCGAATTTTTTAGAAAAAAAAAAGACCAGACAGGGCAAGAAATAAAGGCCCATGAGGGGATCGAACCTGCGATCTTGGTTAACTCAGTGAGTTATGTGAATAATATTAAGCGTCTTTTCATTAGTTAGAAAAACAGAAACATGCAGAATAGGGCAATAATACAGAACCAGACAAATATTTCAATAACAATGTGAAATGATCCAACACAGAGAGAAAAATATGTTATTTTCTTTAATTTTGATTAAATAAAATATTTTACCCTACTTAAGTCAACTTTGCGACTTATTCCTGGTTGTAAGCGACCTGATTGGTGTTGCTATGTGACAAATTCAATTTTTAGTAACGCAAAGCTGCTGAAAATTAAATCTTTCAGAGGCTATAAATGAAAAAATGACCAAAGTTTCATAGAGTAAATAAATTGCTTCAGGGAGCGAAGGAATTTTTTAGGCAAGTTTTAATTGTCTGCTAATGAAAATACATAAAAATAAATTTATTTTCTGTGACGAAAATATAAAAAATCAACTCAATTTAATTTTCAGACCGAAGCCAATGCCCACTGGGTTTCAGGTCGCACCGAACAAGAGGCTCGCGAAAAAGCGGCCAAACATTACAAAACCACCATCGACGACGTCATCCTCACTCAAGACGAAGACGTCCTCGACACCTGGTTCTCATCCGCCCTCTTCCCGTTCTCGATCTTCGGCTGGCCGGAAGAAACCGAAGATCTTCAAGTATTCTACCCGACTTCCCTTCTCGAAACCGGCCACGACATCCTCTTCTTCTGGGTGGCGCGGATGGTGTTCTTCGGCCAAAAACTCCTGGGCAAACTACCATTCAAAGAAGTCTACCTCCACCCGATAGTACGCGACGCCCACGGTCGCAAGATGAGCAAATCCTTGGGCAACGTGATCGATCCGATGGACGTGATCCACGGGATTGCCCTGGAGAATCTGCACGAACAGCTGCTTAATAGTAATTTGGAGCCGACGGAGATTGAGAAGGCGAAGGCCGGCCAGAAGCGGGATTATCCTGATGGAATTCCGGAATGCGGGACGGATGCTTTAAGGTTTGCGTTATGCACGATGTGCTCCGGACGTGACATCAACTTGGATATTCTGAGAGTGCAGGGGTACAGATTTTTCTGTAATAAGATATGGAATGCGACGCGGTTCGCTCTCAGCTATTTCAGCAGTGATTTTGTGGCTCCGGCAACTGGGGAGTTCGTAGGGAATGAGAAAGTGATGGATTTGTGGATGTTGAGCAGGTTGGCGTCTGCTGTGGCAGATGCTAATCAAGGGTTTATGACGTACGATTTTCCAACAGTGACCACTGCTATCTACAACGTGTGGTTGTATGAACTTTGCGATGTTTATTTGGTAAGTGGAAAAATTAAATTTTCGTGTGGTTGAAACACGGAGACAATTTTTTAGGAATACTTGAAACCAGTGTTTGCGAGTGGTGACGCAGCTACTAAAAAAACCGCACAAGTCACATTGTATAGAGCGTTAGAGGTGGGGTTGCGTCTTCTTTCGCCGTTCATGCCGTTCATTACTGAGGAGCTTTACCAACGACTACCCAGACCCCAATCAGTGAAAGATAACATTCCCAGTATATGTGTAGCCCCATACCCAGAGTCTAGCGAGTGTTCCTGGAGGAATGAGACCATTGAAAATGAGGTCGATTTTGTGCAGAAAATAGCCAAAGCGATTAGGTCTGCGCGGAGTGACTATAATCTACCCAATAAAACAAAAACTGAGGGTAAGTTGATTGTACTAGTCTGATACTTCTTGTTGATTTGTTTTTACTTCCAAGGAAGTACTATAATAGGGTCCATCCGGCGAACGGTTACTTTAATGTTTTCTCGGCGTTTTATGACCCTTAGAATATGAAAAAAATTGATCCGCTGTTTGCGTTTGTGTGTACTCTGTGTCGATTTTTATTTGAGAGGTAATCTCCGAAACTACCGGATGGATTGTACTCAAATTATACCGGGTGTCTGGAAAATGACGAATTAACTCTCCACTACGTTCTTAATGATCAACTGGTGAGTCTGGGAAAATAGTAAAAAAAAATTATTTCTCACATTTTGGTGGAGTTACAAAGATTTTAAAATTGGTTCCTTTGCTACGTTTAACAACTAAACAACATATTCATTATCACAATAATTAGTAAAAAAACTTTTAGTTAATATTTCTTTCGCCCATGACCATATAAAGCGAAGACACAAAAATTGCCAAAGTTTTCAAAACCCTACGTTTAAAATGTTCGCAGTTAATTTTAGATCCCCTGGTGTAGAGGGATAAATTTAAAGGAATCTGGTGTTTTGTTGCTGGATGAACTTGAAAAAATCTTTTGAGCTTTTAGTGTTTTACTTTTTATGAATTTGAAAAAGTCTTGAGTGCCGCAGTTTTTTTTTTTTTTTTAATTCGGGAGACTTGGGTACCCATGGTGTATTATTTTGGGAGCTAATGGAGATTTGTTTGTACATTATTTAAAAGAATTTTGGAGGACTTTGGTGTACTATTTTTGGAAAATTTTGACCTGACCTGTTTTTGGTCCAATTTAAAACAATCTTGAGCTTCTAATTATATTTCTTAGAGGATACGTCCTTTAAAATCTGTCTTATCTAAGCAGGTACTAATCCCACCCACCCACCTTCTCTTTTCTTAGAGGGTATGTCATTTGCCAAAATCAGTCTTATCTTAAAGAGTATCACTGCCAAAATCAGTCTTACTTTAGCAGGTACTAGCCCCGCCCACCCGCCCTCTCTTTCCTTAGAGAGTGTCATTTGCCAAAATCAGTTTTATTTTAGAGGGTATCTCATTTGCCAAAATCAGTCTTATCTTGGCAGCTACTAGCCCCGCCCACCCACCCTCTCTTTTCTTAGAGGGTATGTCATTTGCCAAAATGAGTTTTATCTAAGAGGGTATCCTCATTTTGCCAAAATTAGTCTTACCTTAGCTGGTATTAGCCCCGCCCACCCACCCTCTTTTTTCTTAGAGGGTATCTCATTTGCCAAAATCACTCTTATCTTAGAGAGTATCACTGCCAAAATCAGTCTTACTTTAGCAGGTACTAGCCCCGCCCACCCACCCTCTCTTTTCTTAGAGGATATGTCTTGCCAAAATGAGTCTTACCTTAGCAGGTATTAGCTCCGCCCACCCACCCTCTTTTTTCTTAGAGGGTATCTCATTTGCCAAAATTACTCTTATCTTAGAGAGTATCACTGCCAAAATCAGTCTTACTTTAGCAGGTACTAGCCCCGCCCACCCGCCCTCTCTTTCCTTAGGGGGTGTCATTTGCCAAAATCAGTTTTATCTTCGAGGATATCTCATTTGCTAAAATTAGTCTTACCTTACTAGCCCTACCCACCCACCCTCTTTTTTCTTAGAGGGTATCTCATTCGCTAAAACCACTCTTATCTTTGACGGTATCACTGCCAAAATCAAATTCCGTTACAAATTATAATGGTAGCTACTATCCTGCACTCACTTTCATGTATTCTATGTTTCTCTACTTTTTCTTTTCTTTTTTTTTTATTTTTTGTGTCCTTTTTCACATGTATGTCTTTCACTAAAGGGGCCCTAGCCTGTTGAAAGACTATTAATAATAATAATAATAATAAAAATCAGTCTTACTTTAGCAGGTACTAACTCCGCCCACCCGCCCTCTCTTGCCTTAGAGGGTGTCATTTGCCAAACTCAGTTTTATCTTAGAGGGTATCTCATTTGCTAAAATTAGTCTTACCTTACTAGCCCTACCCACCCACTCTCGTTTTTCTTAGACGGTATCTCATTTGCCAAAATCACTCTTATCTTAAAGGGTATCACTGCCAAAATCAGTCTTACTTTAGCAGGTACTAGCCCCGCCCACCCGCCCTCTCTTTCCTTAGAGGGTGTCATTTGCCAAAATCAGTTTTATCTTAGAGGGTATCACTGCCAAAATCAGTCTTACTTTAGCAGGTACTAGCCCCGCCCACCCGCCCTTTCTTTCTTTCTTTCTTTAGAGGGTGTCATTTGCCAAAATCAGTTTTATCTTCGAGGATATCTCATTTGCCAAAATCACTCTTATCTTAGAGGGTACCTCTGCCAAAATCAGTCTTATTTTAGCAGGTACTAGCCCCGCCCACCCACCCTGTCTTTCCTTAGAAGGTATGTCATTTGCCAAAGTCGGTCTTATTTTAGTAGGTACTAGCCCCGCCCATCCGCTCTCTATTTTCCTAGCGGGTATGCCATTTGCCAAAATCGATCTTATTTTTGCAGCTACTAGCCCCGCCCACCCACCCTCTCTTTTCTTAGAGGGTATGCCGTTTGCCAAAATCTGTTTGTTCTTAGCAAGTCCTGATGACTAATTTTTACAAAAAAATGATCGAAATTCGGAAACATTACGAACTTACTGATATGCACAATGCAGGAATTTTGAACATCTTCTATAGTATTTAGTTGACTATGCTTTAATGTATTTTTCTTTTTGTTGGTTTTGCTTTTGTTTATAATTTATAAATGTGTTATTAAATTTTTTTTTGTTTATTTATTAATGAAAAGTAAAAGCTTGTTTTATTAATAATAATGCAGAACAATTAACGACTACTGGTTGTTATGGTTATTGTCCTAAAAAAAATAAAGGTGGATTTCAGTCACCATCGTTGCTAAGAAATCAGAAAGTAAGTCGGAAGTATTGTACTCCCAGTTTCAAGTGGTTTTTATGACAAGATAATAAACATTATCACTTCATTATTACCCCACGACGGACAAAATGACTTGAATAACAAAGTACGGCCCTGCAAAGAACCGACCAGTTTCTTATTTATGGCTAGTTTACTCCATTGTCCCCATCATCAACTTCGACACAATGGACCTATCATAAAAACCACTTTAAACTGGGAAGACAATATTAACGCATTAGGTGTAGTGTTGCCTTTTTACTTTTATAAAATTACGTTTTTTACACTGTATTTTCTATTTTACAAAAAAATGACATAGGAATAACATTTTTTGCTTAATTCAAAACGAATAAATCTGCAATTAAAACTTCAAGATTCCTGGCCTGTACTCTTAACATTAATTTTTTCATATTTCTAAGTTTTCGTTACTTTTAGTTTTTTTCGATTTTAAGGACACAGCCTGATAATATTAAAAATTTACTTGCATATTTATTCGTTTTGAATTAAGCAAAAAATGTTATGCCTATGTCATTTTTTTGTGAAATAGAAAATACAGTTTTTTTTCCTCTTGTGCACTCAATCCGGGGACATACTGTATATGAATAATGTGTGTATGGTAAAACATCAACCATAATTTATGTAATCATCTCAAGAGTTTGATGATGTCACCTCAAAATTTGCCCGGCGCCTCCACCATATACGTATGTCACGTCCTGTGACCATTCGGGGTGTTATAATTAAAACATTTCTCTCCTACTCTACGATTTGTTACCTAAACTAACCACAAAATTGATTATATTGGCTTGGTACTTACGTAGTCATTATCTTCTCCTTCAGCAGTCTTGAAGGGACACTCACTATCACAGTCTTGACCTTTCGTCGAGCCAACTCCAACTTCAAGTCTCTAACTCTAATTGTTCTCGATTTTCCACTCTAAAAGTTCCTTCTGCTGGCCCAAGCATTTCGCAATTTCTTTGCGAAATACCTGGCATCAGCCAAACTCCGACTGTTTAAATTTATATTTCGAAAAAATTCGATTAGTACGTTCAAATTACGAGCATCAACGGTTAAAAAAACATGACATTTGACTGATTTTGTGTTCTCAATTCAGAGGACTGTTTACCTAACTACTCAATTTTTTTCCCAAAAACAGTCACAAATTTGAAGAACACTTATTCGGTAAAATTGTTGTTAACATTTCTCAGTATTCGGTTTCTGCAATTTCTGGATGCTAAGGGTAAAAGCTCAACACGGATTCATAAATCACACATGCAAAGCATCTTATTTTATAAAATTTAAAGAACATTTGAGGGTGACGTCATCATTTTTTGGGGACGTTATTAAAGAGTAATGTAAATTTTGGAGACGACGTCATCGTGTTGTTGCTGGAGATGATTATCCAAATTTTGGTTAGCCTTTTTCCATTTTCACGATACTCCTAAGATTATCTGTCCAATAAAAATCCGGATAGACGGCAGATAGACAGACGGACGGAAACGGGAGAGTATTTTTCGTACTTTAGGGGTTATGAAACGTCGAGAAAACATAAAATTAGCCAGTCGTCCAATAGACTTGGTTACAATACTTCCGTAGCTTACGCTCAGAAAATAAAAATGACATTCTGACTGAAAAATAATTATTGAAAAAAATATTTTTATTTACTTCCGGAACAAAGGCAATATTATAATCTGGCAATTTTTATGAAACTTCAATTCCACGTTTTGCTGACTTCGCAGTCTGTAGAATAGGAAGATGCAAATTTATTGTTTTCGGCTGTTGACGGCGGCGAGATCTAATTAAATTAAATTAAATTAATTTGAGCGGAGAACTTTGAATTCGTGCTTTTTATTGAAAAAAAATTAAAATAAAATAAAAAAAATACGTATCATTACGTGCAAGTTCTTCGACATTTAAAAAAAAATGACGTTTTAACCGTACTCAAGTCCGAAAAAATACCTTACGACCTAGGTTTTATTAAGATTTTAACTTATTTATTGCCTCCCTGCTAGGAAATTAATAACGCCATCTCAAATTAATGTTAAATAAATTTCATGTACCACAGTGTACCATATGATCAAGGAAAAAAAGTGGCCTAGCAACCACTGAAATTTAATGTTAAAAATGTTATGGTGGCAACACTAGCGGGTTCCTTGTTCGATTTGACAGTTACGGTAAAAAAAACTGTCAAATAGTTGCAGGCATTATTTAAAAAATTCATTTCATGTCCTACTAGACGACTTTTTCGATCATTCGGTAGCATATATTCTAGAAAAAACTCGTCTAGCAAACTTTGAAATTTAATGTTAAAAAAAATGTATGTTGACAACACCAACGGGTTTTTGTGCTCTACCGAACACCGAAAATGCTTAAAAAGCTAGGTTATGTCATCAACCGTAACAACCGCGGTGGTTATAAACAACATTCACAGTTTCAAAGCCACCTTGATGTAGGCCATTTTATAATTATCGTATACATTTCTTCATTGAAATAAGTCTATTTAGTAATTTGCTATTTTGGCCATGTCATAAAAGACGTCATTTGAACTCAAAAATCTTCGGTGTCGTAATCTTGATGTGGCACAAAATGGCGGTTGATTGTGTCCGTTTTAGACATAGTTTACTAGAATATCAATTTTGTTGCAGCTTATCTCCAATGTAGCGACTCCGCTACAGAGACAACAGTTACCAAGTACATAGAAGCTCTGCAGACTCTCTCCTACTGCTCCAAAATCGGGGTCAACGAAAAAGCTCCTCAAGGTTGCGCCATAATCACCGTTTCTGACAAGTGTCAAGTGAATTTGCTACTCAAAGGTTTGATAGAACCATCAAAAGAGATCGCTAAAATACAGAAGAAGCTGGAATTCTTGGAAAACACAAAGAATAAGCTGAATCAAGCGATGACTGCGGCCGATTATGCAACAAAAGTACCCCCAGAAGTACAACAAACGAACAGCGAGAAATGGTCGCAGACCACCATCGAGTTGGAAAGGTTACAATCTGCAATTCAAGCATTAAAATTAATGGAATAATAAAGGAGTAGTATAATTAATTTAAGCAATACGTTTCGTCATCATGTTTTCACAGGGTTGGATTATAATAAGTCATACCTACTTTGATATTTTCACCGTTGTGCTCATAGAAGAAATTCGCTGTAGCAAAAATTACCTATTATTTATTGACTTAGTAACTTATTGTGTCGTCCGCTTCATCTATTTATTGTTTTTAAATAAGGTGGTTGTAAATTTAATAAATTATGGAGGCATTTACATTTTTAATCAGGTGAATATACAGTTACAATCACAGTATTATAGCTTAGCCTATATTTAAGTTCCATATGACGTAATAAAATTTTCAATTGTTACTTTCGTGTTTCTATTGGTCGACGAGCCCTTCTTACGTGCCGATATTCACGATAAACCAAAATGATGCCTTTACTGTATTCATGTGCATACAACTAATAACAAAATAAATCGATTTAAAATGATCTCAACGTAAACAACTTGATGATTATCACAGCTAATTCTAGAATTTCCCTTTGTAACGGAGTAGTCTTCATCTTTAGGTATGCTCACGTTTCTTATTACCTAATTACAATATCATCAGGAAACGTACACGTTAAAAAAATTATAATTTAAATTACGTAACTTGCAATAACTTTCGCCAAAATTTACATACATGTATAAATAAAATTTGTAAATAAAAACATCTTGCACACTGATAAAAATTGTATAAAACTCTTTTAATATCACTTTTCAATCAAATCTAGTCCACTGACTTTGAGAATTGACTTTGTTACTTGTCGCACTAGTGCTAGCAAATGGATCGAATATTTGTTGATTTTGTACACTTGAAAAACTCTTAAAATCTAAGCCATACTCCTGGAGTAGATCTTGATCATTCCTGCTGGGCACCGAACCGTTCTGCTTGGTATTGTGATTCTCGTAGGTGTACAATGGATTCGATAAACTGAGCGGTGCAGGAGCACTAGAGCTGTAAGAATTCGATTTCAAAGGATCAAAGTCATCGATGTCCGATGCAGAATCCAAACGAATCAAGTCTTCCATGTCTTCAGGCTGAAAAAAGTACTTTAGTAAACTAGAGTCAAAGTGTGTAGGGAATACAACACAAACAGGACTGTCCGAAACTCTTACGTTGTTGCTTTTGTATCAGCGAAAAGCTTCTTAACTCTTGGGGTTAAGTAGTAGGGAGCAAAAAGCTAAGTAGTTTCCACACAATTTGATCCAGGCTTGAATATTTTATGTTATCAATCGATACTGCAATTTCAGGACTGAAACTATTTTGGTCGCATCGCTATAACTTAAAAGCCACACTTAAGTACAAAAGTACTTTAGTGTGGCTTCACAAAAGTTAGTTTGTCAGTTAAATAATTTTGAATAACGCTACTAATAAATAACATGGCTATCGGTACAGAGTTCCAAAATATTCACCGTTTGTGAAATAACGCCCCAAAGGATTTGACAAATTTTAATCTCCTTTTTGCAGCATTCTGGTATTGATTGACACTACAATCAAATTTACTATCAAGTAAATCCCATTCCAATTGAATGTGACAGCCAGTCAGATTTAAACAATGAATAAATGAAATGTGTCTCGTTTTATGCGATTTTTTACCTGTTTGTAGCGTTGATATAAATATACTCGTCTGCAAAATAACGAGCGAAAATTAAATTTCGTCTTCCAATTAAATAGACTGGGAATGAAATTAACTTAATCTGCTGTACGCTGTACAGTAGAACAAAAAATTTATGTCGGGTAATTTTACATGAACATTTTGACAATATTCACTCTCATATTCTTAGGTACGATCGAAATTAAAATAAATTAGAGTTGGCGTTGCCTGTCAAGTTTGTTTTTTAAACATTCAATATACTAAGATTCAATGTGTTGACACTACAATGATTGTAACACAGATGTTAAAAATTGGTCGAAGATTATTTCGACAGAACTTCCCTCGCCTATAAAGTACAGCTTGTCAAATCCAGCTTTTTCGAAAAATTAAAAGATTTGATTTTGCGAATTTTACTGTTTTTTATGGCAACCATTATAAGCTAAAATAAAAATATGTATCTAATGTTTGAGTAAAAGAAACGTGCTATTGTATTATTGCTGTTCTTGAATAGTGATTTATAATAATCAATAAAATAACAAAACAATTTAATCACGTCTGTCGTACATAATAACAGAGATGCGACTGAAGACTGAATTGAAAATTTTTATAGTATTCGTAATTTAAGTGATAACGCTTGTCGAGATTGAATACGTGAGAGTGAAACAGAGAAACTAAACTAAAAGATGTTTTCTACGAATTGCAATAACTGGTTCACAATGCCGACGGTCCACACTTTTTTATTGCTCTGACTTCCGCTTATTGAATAAAATACTACTCCTACATTTTATTTTGATTTTCGATGTTGTAATTCACATTTGGTTAATTATAACTTGTCTAGAACTAGGGGAGGCTCAGCATCCCCTAGTTTCCTCCTAACTACGGCCTTGTCTAGGGGTTATTAAATATCGAGAAAATATAATATAATTATTGTACATTCTTAGGTTATCCTCGGTAAGAAAAATAACTTGAAAGTGTTTAGGTTTATACATCGGAAGAATGTCACGTAGAAATTAGTTGGACTAGAATGAATTCATCATAGAATTTTGAGATGACGTAATCCAATCCATTTTTTCGAGAAAGTTACAATGTTTACAATAACTTCAAAACGTCTGCAAAATTTCAAAGTATTCAGTTTTACAATTTTTTATATAAACAAGACAATAAATTGACTCAAGTCATTAATTTTTTTAAGACCCCTGTATAAGCAAATCCAAAAAATATTAATGCAGTAATAAATCACAAGTATAGACTCATCATGCTTTGCACATTTAAGATAGGATTTATTCAGCAAAATTTTGAGGTGACGTCATCAATTTTTTAAGGGGGTCGAGCAAATATATTTTGATCAAAAATTTACCATGCTTCACGCATTCGTTATTTTTTTGAGTCACTTTGTATAAGCAAATCCAAAAAGTATGAATGGAATGATAATTCGCAAGTACAGACTCATCATCCTTTCTACATTTTAGATAGGATTTATTCGGCAAAATTTTGAGCTGACGTCATCAATTTCTTGGAGGGGATAAGTAAATACATATATTTTGAATAAAAATGTAGCATAGCTATCATAACCTTAAAACATTTGCAAGATTTCAAAGCATTCGGTTTTGCAGATTTAAAATTAAATTGCAAAATGTTGTTTTAGAATTTTGATTTTTTTCCAAAAGTCTGGAGGTTTCGGGTAAAAACTCAACACGGAGTCATAAACTGCATGTGTAGGATTGTTATTTTATACAATTTAATTTACAATTTTGAAGTGACACGATATGCTTTTTAACAAAATTTGACAACAATCGGCCCAGTACTTTCGGAGATTATCTGTCTAATAAAAATTCGTGACGACAGACAGACAGACGGAAAAGGGAGACCTATTTCTTCGTACTTTAGGGGTCATGAAAGGTCGAGAAAACGTAAAAGTGAAGAGTCGGCCGACGGAGTGGATTACAATAATTGCTTTTTTGTGTGGACTTTTGCAAATTAAAAATAGAATATAGATATGGGTTACTGTATTTAAGAACTAACTTGTAGTTTGTGATTCACTCATTGACTCACCCTGTATAAAAATATATTAACATTACACAAACTATAGTCATTACAGATCAACTGATACTATAACAGGTCATACATGCTTCTTCAAAATGAATGAAACATATAATTCAGTTAAAATAAAGACAAACAATGGAAGTAAAAGTTCAAAAACTCATTACGGTGAACTTAGAAAAAATCAACCTTTATGCTATAACTTCTCGTCGGTATGAACATCAATTTAATGTTTTCAAGGAACTTCGGAAGCTCTTTCGCAGTAACTTTCTTTTCCTCTGACATAAGAGTACAACATTCTTGTAATTAATAACCAAACTTGAAAACAAGTAGACAACTAATTGGCAGAAGAGTTTACAGAAAACTAAAAAAATTGGAAATACTAAAAACCGTACTGGAAAAATGAATAAATAATTATTATCATTATTATTAACAGCTTTGTAAAATAAAAAAAAATCTGAAACCATGAAATCCGACAATATTTTTAGTGTTATACACATTGTAATTCAATCAAGTTAAGAGTAAGTTCTAGTTCAAATTAATGTGCAAATTTCTGCATATATTATTCATAATAATTTAACATTCTCCGTCGTCCTATTGGGTTTAATGTAGAGTTTTGAACTAAGCACTCAATTATTGTAATTGAGTAAAACAGTTATTTAATCCTATAGCAGGCCCTGTGGATTTTAGAAATGTCATGTGTGACAAGTATCGTGCGATCGAAAATAAAATGAATCCGAGTTGGCTTTAATTGTCAGGCTTTGGGTGATACTTTTGCCCAATTTGACGTAAATCAATCAGGAAAATATCTTCCCCTCCCCGAAAGCAATCTCAACAAAGTCACTGTTTGTCACTGGTCAATTTATAGTGTTTAGGTCTGTACATGTAATGAGTCTGTGGGGAACTCTATTACAGGTTTGAAGGGGGAAGTAAGTTTATTTTAGTTTTATTTACCAAATTATAGGTAAATAAGTAAATACAATTAAAATGTGATTAGATTCAAATTTTACCGCGTGGCTAGTATTTTCTAATATAGTCTTTAAAATAGGATTTTTAAAGATCATTGTATAAACAAACCTAATCGTTATCAAACAATATTGTAGCTGGTATTGTAGCCAACTCTAACACGAATTATTCTCGACTGAACTTTACCTTCGTTCTGGGATCAATGCTTGCCTATTAGTCTATTTTTTAGCCTACTGAATAATTTCAAGACATTTTTTTTCCATAATATTTGCCTCTGTTTATTAATATGTACTTTATTGATATAAATAACAGTTTTTACAGGTTGTCATAAATGTGTTGGGGCGGTCGAATATTATTATTGATCCAAAGGTACACTTCTGACGTCATATGCTGATCCGCTATTACTGTCATTGTTAACAATTCAAGACCTCAATGACTTCGCTACCTTATAACATTGCAGATTTGAAAATTCCTACTATTTTTTCATCAGAATGTCATACTTCTGAATCTGTGTACAATTTTTTGTCTTAGTGAAAAGAAACCAACAAATCTAGTAAATTTGCCAAAATAAGAGTCTTGTCTTATATGTACACGTATCCCAAAGGACGTAGAACATGCACTTACACTCCATTTCAAGGAAAAATCATCAACTAAAGGAATAAATGGATCATGCTATCGTCTGACACGCTAACTCTAAACCTGCAATTTGTTCCTGTGTAGCACGTAATGTTTTCGCCATGATAGAAGTTGTTTTATAATAATTTTGTGCAAAAATTCCATTCTGATTACTGTGGTGTTCCAAAATAAATTAATAATAATTAAAATTTCTTATGAACGATGAACTCGAATGTTATAACTTTAAAAGAGCAAATTTTCCATTACTACACGAAACGCTCTTGTCAACAAATTGGAATTTTCTAGAAGGTAATTTAGACGTGGACCAAGCTTGTACACTCTTTTACGAAAAACTAAATCTGATTTTTGACATTGCAGTGCCGAAATATAAACCGAAAAACTATTCCCGTAATAAATATCCGCCCTGGTTTGATAATGAAACTATAAATAGCATACGCAACAAAATAAAAGTTCTCAAATTGTATAAGAAGCATAGAACGGATTACTACTTTAACTTGTTCAAGTTTCATCGTCTACGGTGTAAAAAACTTATTATCCTGTCTTACAAAAGATATATTCAGAAATTAGAGAATAATATTTCAAGTAAACCGAAATCGTTCCGGACATTTATTCAAAATAAAAAAAAGTGTACTCGAATTCCAATTTTAATAATTCTCTTGAGGTTGCATCGCAGCTATTTGTCTCTGCAAGCCATATGTCTCAAAATGATGTATTTCTTGTCTTGAAGAATTGTAAAGACACTTTTACTACAGGACCGGATGGCGTTCCTTGTTTTTTACTAAAGGATTGTGCAGGTGTCTT